GCAAGTACATAAGAGGAGATAGAACCAAATGTTGGCATTTGGATTGATGTTGTTCTGGAACACAAGGGGGTGGTCACTTATTGTTTCTATAGGTACGCCTTAACTCCACCCCTGGGCAAGACTTGTTAATCCACATGATATATATCTAATGATTCTGAAAGGTGTTAGGACTTTCTTGGGGCCAGAGTCGAATTCTGAGTGAGTCACCATCTCCCTTTACCAGAGACCCCCCTTGGCAGAAGTTTTACTTTGAAAACCTGAGTAAGTGATTAGGAATGCTGTTATTTTATCCCTTTTATTTTTATCTGTTGTTGGTGTAACTAATTTGATTGTCACCTATATTTTTGTATGCACTGTGAATCTTTTTTGCTCATAATAAATATTCCTTTATTAATTTTTGCCTTTGTCTGGTAAAGAATCACTTTATCTGAAGAGAGTTATTAGTGTTTTGTAATTACATAGATATTGTGCTAAGTTGTATTTAGTGGGGTTTTATTATTAAGTTACATGGGGGACCAAGGCACACAATTTATAAATTGTCTTGGTGGTGGCAGCGTTAAAATAGTAATATTTTACGTTTGGGTGGTGTTAAGGGGGATTTTTTTTTATCATTATTTCCGGTCTAGTGCAGACAAATAGTGAAATTTAACCCTTTCACCACCACAACTACGTCATGCACACTCTTGGAGTAGGGTGCGTTCGTGACAATATATATATATATATATACACAAACACACTCTACATGGCACAATGACTTATGGGGCTGGCATACATATTTTCCAGGGCTGCTTCTTTGTAGCCCCAGTTCGACCCTGCAAAAAGGGACATCTAACAAAAATGTTAGATGTCCCAGCTTATCTACAGAGCTCAGGTGTAGTGTAGTCATTTGAGCTATTTGTTTTTCTACTACATTTGGTAGCACTATGCACTAGTTTTAGTTAAGTTTAATTTTAATTTATACTTTTTTAGTTGATGAAGAGAGAGTGGTTCAGGTAGGCATTAATGGCTTGTCCACGGTGCTGAGGTACTATAGGGACATACCTTACCTAAGTGACTGGTTTGGGGGTGCTGTGGGTGGTTTGAGATTTAACCTCTTCATCTATATGCCATTATCTCTAACCTCTGTACACACCTGAGCTCTGTAGATAAGCTGGCACATCTAACTTTGGCTTAGACCTTTCAAAGCTTTGTTCACCTTAGCTAACCCATCAGACTTTTCACACTGATTTTTATGTGTACATGTGTTTATGTGCATGTTTGCATATATCACATATACTCTCTTGTCTCTCCCTCCCCCTCCTTTTACTATTTTTGTTTCCCCTTAGGACTAATAAAGGTAGGGCTCACTTTCTATATTTTCTGTGTTATTCTCCTAATTAGGACCTGTAGTCCACTCCCCTTTATTTTTTGCAATTAGTGGGTTATTCCATCTAGAAGAATAATAGTGGGTTTCTATGAAGCTAATCAATTAGCCCCCAGTAACATTGGGACTTTTTGATCAGCTCTTACCTAATTCATACTAATTCTCTGTATATATGTATCTATTTGTCTGCATGTGTATCTGAATGTCTGCGTATATGTATGTCAGTGTGTGCCCTGAGTATCTGTATGTTTGGCACTGTTTGTATCTGTATGCGTGTCATTCTGTGTATTTGAATGTTTGTCTTTAAGTGTTTGTGAATCTGCATGTGTGTCTGTGTGTATTTATGTATCTTTCTGTTAGTTTGTGTGTCTGAATTTGCATGTGTGTCAGTGTATGTGTGTCTGTGTATCAGCATGTGTGTCCGTGTATGTATCTGTATGTGTTATATACTGTGTATCTGCATGTATGTCAGTGTGTTTGTTTGTACATCTGCATGTGTGTCAGTGTATGCACCGGTGTGTCTGTGTAACTGTCACCCCACCATACACACTGTCACCCCCCCCTTCACCCTGCCACACTCACAATAACTCCCCCAATCCTCTCACACACCCATGCCATACTAACCTCCTGTCGCTCTGCCATATTCTCCCCATTACACTCCTCTTCTCTCGCACTGTCATACTTTTTTATCCCCAATCCTGTCACTCACCGATGCCATATTCACCCTATTACACTCACCTTCTTTCGCAGTCACACTCACCCCCCCAATCCTGTCACACTCTTTCTCAATCACTCTGTCACACTTGCCCCCTTTTACCCTGCCACAATCACCCCCTTTCACCTTGCCACACTCACCCTATCTCACTAACTGATTTAATTCTGTCATACTCAACCCCCAAACCATGCCACACTAATCCTGTGGGGCGTGAATGAGAAACATGGAGGGGCTAAGGGACTGGAAGGGGTGAAACGTATGGCGAGGGCCCCAGGGCAATTTTCGCACCAGGGCCCCATGGTTTCTAGTTACGCCTCTGATCATGGGTTATTGCCCGGTGAGGACTTACTCTCTGTAGGTAGTTCTCTACTGACCAGTTTTTGATGTTAATTAGGTGGTTGTCTAAATGCTAGAGTAGGGGGTTCAGGAAGGTTGTCTTTCAGTAACTAATCCTCAGTGAGCACTGGCTTTATATCCCTGATGATTTTACGTATGGCCTCAAAAGTGGGCTTATATGTTACAAATACTGCTATTTCTGAACATAGATATGTTAAAAAGTGCCATTTAAGAAGGTCACGGTAATGTCTAGAAAGTTAAAGGAACACTTTACTCACTGTAACAACTCAATCTAATTTAAGTTGTTATAGTACCTACAGTATACTACATTGTACGTGCCACCAAAACATTTAATCTTGATAGTTAAAAGCCAGGACTGTTACTTCCAGGCTCTCATACCCAGGCATACCGTGATATCACGTGCACAGGAGCAGTGCCATCACGTCATAGAGAATCATTGCATTTAACGACTCTCTATAACAAGAGAATCAGTGGTGTCTACAGTCACTGATGTCCCTCTATGAGGATGACTTCACGCGAGGAGAAGCGGAGGGCAGTGCCAAGGGAGACTACTGGAAAAAAGGTAAGTAAAATATTTTAACTATTTTTTTTTTACAGAGTAGGGGATGTGGAGGGGGGTTACTATAACCAGAGACAGGGAAACCATAGCGTTAGGAATACAGATAATAGGAATACCATACTGTTTAAGTTTTATTGATGGATGGAAAGAGTTAATAGAGTCATGAAAATTCTTTAGTGTTTCTTCTCCTGTCCAAATAACCAACATGTCACAGATGTAGCAGTAGATTTTGTATGGTTTGTAGTTTTTTGTTAGAAGAAATTTCTGTTCTAGATCAGCCATAATCAGATTGGACTATTGTGATGCCATTCTAGTACCCGTAACAGTATTTATTTTTTATAATTAGAGGTCCTAAAGTAGTAATGTGTGAATATGAACTGTGTTCAGATGGTTAAGGCTACTGGTCTTACATTGTTTGCTGGTTTGATTGTGTTCAGATGGTTAATGCTACTGGTCTTACATTGTCTGCTGGTTTGATTGTGATCAGGTGGTTATTTCTTAAATGACTGATTGTAGCTCTTCCCCGTGGTGAGAGATTGTGCTCTGTTTTATCGTCATGTTGTTTAGTCCCAATGGCTTAGGCAGCAGCTTTCTATAAAGGTGTGCAGTTTATATTGCATCCTGATGTTAGAGTGAAACCTGGGTTCTTTTTCTTGTTGCTGTAGTTTTCCATAGTAGCATTATGCTCCTTATCAAAAGTAAAAGAAAACTTAAAGTGCACTTATACAGAGCGAGAATTTTTGAATGCATAAGTAATGCATGAAGGGAGGTTTGGCACTAAGAGAAGAGATAATGTCAACATTTTGGAACCAAACTGTCTTGATCTTAAAGGAACACTTCAAGCATCATAACTACTACAGCTCACTATAGTTGTTATGGTGCCTAATAATGCAGTGGTGCCCCCCATAGCAAGGAATCAAACCATTTTAGAATGCTTTGACTTCTTACATTGGGTCTGCCGAGTGCCACCCCCCACCTCCACTACAATATCCTGAAAGCCATTAGTTCCTAAGAAGGAACTTCCATTAGCTCTCCTGAGCCAAGTATTCCAATGCAGGGTTAGCTCATTGGCTGAGTGCCTCAGCTCATTGATAACCACTACAGCAATTTTGTTTGTGACAGACCTGGCATCCTACTCAACATGCAGGGGTTAAATGAGTGATGTCCTGTGTGTATTGTTCCATCTGAACTTGTGATTACATTGTTTATTGTTAGATTTGTGTAATTTTTACAACCACTTCCAGGAGTCAAACTTTGAAGAAATACTATAAGCACCAAAACAACTTTAATAGAGTGTAGTGGGGGGGTAGTGTACAGGCGCCTATACTTATGTGCACGCGGAACTAGCTTTGGGCGTGGGATTTTTGGCCTGCGATTTGTATTTCCAAAATCAACTTCCAACTTAAAGGAACACTCCAGGCACCAAAACAACTTCATACTGAGCGCATTCTTACTGTCAGGGGTTAAACCGTTTTCGTTTTAACCCCTCGATTCCCTCCCTGGCAGCCTCCGGCTTCTGAAATTTCAGAAAGTTTCTTTCCAAGCCAGTTTTGTGATTGGAGAGTTACTCGATCCGCGATTCCTGAATCTGACATTTCAGAAGCCGGGGGACAGTTGGCAAGTTTGCCTTGGGGGAGCAGAGAATCTGGCTGGAGGCAACTTCGGGGTTAAATCATTCAAAAACAGTTTAACCCCTGAAGGTAAGAAGGCTCCCGGGGCCCCCTGGCACCATAACAACTTTATTTAGTTGAAGTTGTTATGGTCCCTTTAATGCTGAATAAACCCTTATTTGAATAGTGCCGTAAAGCGAGCCCTTCCATGCGGCAAGGGGAAATTGAAAGTGAAGGGGGATTTACAAACTGAACGGGCAGCACTACACCCGCGCCTAAGCGCGTGCCCTACCGTCACGCGCAGCCATGCCTCTTCTCAACGCACGGGCTCGCGCCCCTCCCCTTTCCCAGGTTCCGCTTGGGGGCGCGCGCACGCTAACGTGACAGCGGGGAGGGGCTGAGAGCGTGTATGTGCGCCCAGGAGTACGTGCGCGCTCCCCAGAGCCGAGAGCAGGAACGCAGCGATGGCGGAGGGGGGAGGAGGTGGCGGCGGCGGTGGTGAACCGGGCCCGGCACAGCCGCAGCGATCAGCATGTACGCCGTCCCCAGGACCGGCACCGGAGCCCGCCAGCAGCCCGGAGCCCGAGACCCAGAAGGCCGAGCTGGGGGAGATGCTCAAAGCGCCGCTGAAGAAGGGAGATGAGTGGTGAGGGACAGGCCGGGGAGGGCGAGGAGGGAAGTGACTGTTAGGGAGGCTCCGGCCACCGACAACTGTCACCTGGGGAGTGGCGAGGGCTGCCTGGCCCGCGGACTGGGAGTGCTGTGTCATTGGGCCTGGCAGCAGCCCAGAGCTGGGGAGACAGGCCTGGACCGGCACCACGAGGGGGCCAAGCATAGGACACTCACTGAGTGACTGCCCTCAGACTGACACCCACTCACTGAGTGACTGCCCTCAGACTGACACCCACTCACTGAGTGACTGCCCTCAGACTGACACCCACTCACTGAGTGACTGCCCTCAGACTGACACCCACTCACTGAGTGACTGCCCTCAGACTGACACCCACTCACTGAGTGACTGCCCTCAGACTGACGCCCTCTGAGTGACTGCCCTCAGACTGACGCCCACTGAGTGACTGCCCTCAGACTGACGCCCACTGAGTGACTGCCCTCAGACGGACGCCCACTGAGTGACTGCCCTCAGACTGACGCCCACTGAGTGACTGCCCTCAGACGGACGCTCGCTGAGTGCCTGCCCTCAGACGGACGCTCGCTGAGTGCCTGCCCTCAGACGGACGCTCGCTGAGTGCCTGCCCTCAGACGGACGCTCGCTGAGTGCCTGCCCTCAGACGGACGCTCGCTGAGTGCCTGCCCTCAGACCGCTGAGTGCCTGCCCTCAGACGGACGCCCGCTCGCTGAGTGCCTGCCCTCAGGCGGGCGCCCGCTCGCTGAGTGCCTGCCCTCAGGCGGGCGCCCGCTCGCTGAGTGCCTGCCCTCAGGCGGGCGCCCGCCCGCTGAGTGCCTGCCCTCAGGCGGGCGCCCGCCGGGCGTGTGTGTTTCTCTATTCACTCACAACTGATTGAGACCATCATTTAGGTCAGGTCTAATCCTTGTCACAATGTTTGCCTGGTGCAAGCGGATCTGTCAAGTGTCAAGCCTGATTCAGACTAGGCTCCCTCTAAAAGAAAACCTGTTTATTGACAGGTCTAAAGTTATGTGTTTATGAATCACATACTAATCTCTGCTCTTAATATTTTAGCATTGGATGAGTTACTTGTTTTATGTTTACTATAGGGTAACACTTTCTTTTGGCGTGTTAGGGCAGGTTTGGGAAATAGTATGTTTTAAACATCCATCACAGAAGGACAGGGTCAGGCAGTGCTTTGTTAGCATAACTTAGTGTGACTTGAAGTGTTTTTGACCTGTTTCTCCCATCAAGCTCGCACATAGTTTTCAGTTGGGATGCTGTGCATGTGCTATAAATCCCAGCTCAGTCCCAGTTGAGTAGTGAGTACTGTCAAATATGTTTTGTTTTAAATACATAAATGAAACCACTCGCCATGCCAGTAGAAGCTGCAAAATTGTTTTTTTTTTGTTTTTTTTTACCTACCAAAATTATTTTGTCTTCCTGATTGAAGTCTCTTTAAACTACATGCATGCAGCTTCTGTACAAGTCCTTCCATTCTTATTCACTTTTGATAATTTTTTTTTCAAGTTTGTTATAATGAAAAGGACACAAGCTCCTTGCACTGCAAATAGTCGTGATGCTTGTTGTATCCCTTTTAATAGCTGCACTTTAGCTGCTTATAATCAGATTTATATGCATATTGTTTTGAGGTTTTCTCTCTGCCTGTAGAACAGCATTAAGCTCAATGTCCTGTGCTTTTTCTTTCTAGCACTGCCATGTTGCCTGTGTTTGGATGATTTGAATGATCTCAGCATGTGTCCTATCGGTGTGTTTTTTTTCTATCTTAAGATGGCACATCACTCACTAGACTCCTGTGTAATTAGTTAAAGGAAAACTACAGTTGGAGTGCTGGGTCACACTCCTTGATGGGGGTTGGGACCTTATGACGTGAGCAGCTAGCAACGCTTTCCTATGGGGATTTTCAACATGCTGCACGTCTATATGCACAGTGTGAGGATGTCCAGCGTTGTTTTACAGAGCCAAAACACCTAAAATAGCAGGCAGCGACTCTAGTCTTAACACATGCAATGTAAACATTGCAGTTTCTCAAAAACGGCAGTGTTTTGCATTGTTGGGTTAAGGGAACAGGGACACTGCACCCAGACAACTTGAATGAGATGAAGTGGTCTAGGTGCCTATCGTGTCCTTAAGCATGGAGGCAATTGTACAAATTCTTACCAAAACAAAACCTAGAATTTGAACGATTTGTTCTAACATAATTTACCTTTCAATACAATTATTGTATACCATTTTGTTCCGGAGAAATAGGGCTTTAATTTCACATCAAATATCTGTGTATGACACATTTAATGAGTAAAATGTAAAAACATGTGAGAAATGTTTATTTTCCAAGTTCTACGCGGCATTTTAAAGGGACACTAGGCACCCAGACGACTTCAGCTCATTGGGAGTGCAAACTCCCATCACCTTTAACCCTAGAGTGGTAATTATTGCAGTTTTTATAAACTGCAATAATTACCTACTAGCCGGTTAACGCCTCCTCTAGTGGCTGTCTATCAGACAGCCACTAGATGGGCTTCCAAGCTTGAAGGCGACTATTGGTCACCTCAACAACGCTGGACGTTCTCACGCTATGCACAAGGGCTTCCAGCGTCGCTATTTGAAAGCATTGAATAATGCTTTCCTATGGGGATATCCTAATGCTAGTGCGGCCATTGCTGCGCATTAGGTCTCGCAGAGTCAAGCGCTGAGGTACATCGGTGTTGGACACAGGTAAGTGACTGATGGGGTGGGCATTGACAAAGAGGGCATTGACAGTGCCAGGAAAATGAGTTTGTTTTCCTGGCACTATAATTTCCTTTTCACTGTTAATGCCATAATTCTGTACGCTTTTAGTGCAATAAAATACACATTTGTATGCTGTGATGTCCCATATGTACAACAATGCCCCCATGAACAGGTTTTATGGGTTTTTTGAAGGTTACAGACTCAAATATAGGGCTTTTTATTTTATACACATTGAAATTTGCCAGATTGGTTTGCTGGGCCCATGTTGTCTTTGAGACCGTATGGCAGCTTAGGAATTAAAATTACTCCTGTCATGGCATACTATTTGCAAAAGTAGACAACCCAGGGTATTCAAAATGGGGTGTGTCCAGTCTTGTTTTGTAGCCACATAGTCACAAACCCTGGCCAGTTAGTGTTCATGTAGTTTAAAAAAAAATTAACACAAAAGTTGCCCTTTCACTGATGATATCTTTGTCAATATACATATTACTGCTCTAGAATAATCATATGTGTTCAGTGATGTCTCATGAGTGTAGCAGTACCTCCCTGTACAGATTTTATGGAGTTTTTTTTTGGGGGGGGGGGTGAGGGGGTTGCGGAAAAGTGTCAAATATTGAACTTGCAAATTAAATTATCTGGACTTTCTGCCTGGATTGTCAGGCAAGTCCCCTAATATAATTTAACATAATTATGTGATTTTACTAATTATATATTTGGGGATCTGCCTGGCAACCCAGACAGTCCCCCTGCAGTGAATCTGTCGATAACTCCAATCTGTCATGTTATGGTGGTGCCATCGCGATCACATGACTCAGGTGGTCTTGGCTGCAGGGGGGCTGCCTGGGTTGTCAGGCAGTCTCCGCAGTCGCCATGGAGGGTAAGTATCCGGGCTGGGGGCGGGACCAATTGCTAACACCCAAAAAATCTCTTGTAGAATGACATGCACTTCGTTTGGAAGGGGTTAAGGTTAGTGTGCAAATTTGAAGTGTTTTTGACTTTCTCCCATCAAGATCCCGCATAGTTTTCAGTTGGGATGCTGTGCATGTGCTATAAATCCCAGCTCAATCCCAGGTGAATAGTGAATACTGTCAAATATGTTTTGTTTTAGATACATAACTGAATCCACTCGCCATGCCAGTACAAGCTGCAGAATAGTTTTTTTTGTTTTGTTTTTTTCCACCTACCAAAATTTTGTCTTCATGATTGAAGTCTCTCTAAACTGCATGCATGCAGCTTCTGTACAAGTGCTTCCATGCTTATTCACTTTTGATAATTTTTTCAAGTTTGTTATAGTAAAAAGGACACAAGCTCCTTGCACTGCAAATAGCTGTGATGCTTGTTGTATCCCTTTAATAAGCTTCTCTATTTTTAACTTGTTTGACAACACATCCCACCTGACACATAGTGGATAATATTTACCAATGATAGAAATAAGGTGACTTGCATGGCATCAACTACCGAGTGACTCAGCAAGGAAAATGAGCGGCGGTTCTTTATAGTTTATGGAGTACTGTATCCTGTTTAAATATTCAAACTTTTCGCCAGTAGAAAAGTAAACCTAGGGTTATGAGATGTAGCTGTTTCAAGATGATAATTTTAGTAATTTTTGATAAGTCGCATAGTTATTCAACATAAAATGTGAATATCGTATGCTTTTACTGTTTGGGCTCCATATCAGCACATTTCAAATGAGTGCTTACTGTTTGCCTTCATTTTCTCTGCATACATGTGTTGTATGCAATTTACAGGGTTCTCAACAGTGCTCACTGTGGGTTTACAGGTACAGCATGTAACATGTTTTTAAATGTGAACATATTTGCTTTCATAGCTTTCACTTACAAAGCTAGCAAGAAAGTTTTAGCAGACAAGTGATGTTATCGCATGTCTTTGAAATAATTTCAGGCTTTTCTTGAAGCGATGATGGTAGTATTTGCTGGCATATTTTGAAGAACATATCATTCATTCTATGTTGTTTTTGGTCACGTCCTGAAAGTAAATATTTTTATGACTGTGCAGTTTTGTGTTAGAGATGTTAGTGGCTTTATTACACCTGAGACCTAAGCTATTTTCAATGTTTTTATTTGCAATGAAAACTACTAAATATCAGTATGTTCACGATTGTAATCCTAGAAGAAGCCATTTGGTTACGTTGTGAAATGATTGAGCAGGCTTGCTGTGAATTGCCGGGCCCATGTTGCTCCAGGCATCCCTGCGCAAGGAGTAGGCGGAAACACAAATGATTTGATAGTTTTGCAATATGATGTGAATTTCTCTGTTTTGCAATGTTCTAATGAAGGAAAATTAAAGAAACACTATAAATACCAAACAAATACAACACCGTGTACTGGCTATGGTGCTAGGCATTGGTTTTTCTCTCCTACTCTGTTTGTGTCAGCCTGCCTTAGTGTGAAGGTTACTTAAGTCACATTTCAATGTGTAGTTTTACTGTTTGTAACAAGCAGCCTACTGTTATCAGTGGCATACCTATAGCTATCAGGATACATAGTACTTTGTGTCATAGTCCTTGCTTATTTTAAGAAGTGTTTATAATGTGTTAATCTGACAAATCTGCTATATTTCTAATATGTATTTATTTGTATATTGGTATTAGGAGGAAGTTATCCATAGATGACTTCCTCCTAATGCTAATATACATATTTTAGACTATAACATTTTTATGTGTTAGAGACTATAGATACACCTTATCAATCACTATTCCGTCTTGATTTGCAGTGCTTTGGCTGCTTTTCATTTGTGTGATAAAATATTAGCAAATTTTTTAAACAAAATGAGAAATTGGCAAATCTTAGAATTAGAATAATTTGGTTTAATTTTCTCCTGTGAAGTAACTTTGTAAATATGAATGCTATTGTTCATGTGTTTAACACACAGACTTTTAGTTGGTTATTAAAATCATCATTGGAAGCATTTAAATGGATACTGTAGTGCCAGGGCTACAAAGCTGTATTCCTGACACTACCAATCCCTCTGCCTGCCCCCTCCCTCGCACCTCCTCCCCTGTAAATAAAGGGTTGAAAACCCTTTTATTTACTTACCTCATCCCAGTCTCGATGTCCCTTGGCGCTGGGTCGAAGATCCGCCCCCTCCTCCGTCCCGCAATGAGTGGGGTCTAAAGCGCATGCGCCTCAAATGCCACGCGCGCATTAGACTTCCCCATTGAATCAATGCTTTCCTATGGGGGAAAATCTGACGCTGGAGGTCCTCATGCAGAGCGTGTGGACGTCCAGCGTTGGATAACGGACCAAAAGTCCGATACGATTCCGGAAGCACCCCCAATGGCTGTCTGGTAGACAGCCACTGAGGACAGACGTAGCGCTGCAATGTAAACATTGCAGTTCCAGAGAATTGCAATGTTTAACATTGCAGCACTAGCTGCAAAAAGGAACACCGCATCCAGACCACTTTAATGAGCTGAAGTGGTCTGGGTGCCTACAGTGTCTCCTTAAAACAAGCTGTTTTTAATACTTCACTGTCCCTTTTAATGAGCACAAGAACCGGTCCTGTTGGTAAAGTCAACATGCAATGTTCAGGCTTGCTCATACATTGATGACCGTACACTTTATTGTGTAACTCAGTGGATAATTACCATAGTACTCGCACAGAAACCAAAACCATTACAAAATAAATCTCTCTCATACATGTAATAGTTATCTCACATGAGGACACTCTTGCATTGCCCATATCATTTTGATCTCATAATTAAACAGAAGAACAAAGATGGGGACTAGGCAAGGAAAGGGAAGATGAATACCCCCTGCAGTGAAACTTTAACCCCTTAAGGACACATGACATGTCATGATTCCCTTTTATGCCATAAGTTTGGTCCTTAAGGGGTTAAAGGGACACAATAGGCACCCAGACCACTTCAGTTCACTGCAGTGGTCTAGATGCAGTGTCCCTGTCCTCCTTAGTCCGGCAATGTAAATCATTACAGTTTTTGAGAAAATGCATTGATTACATTACAGGACTAAGACTGCCTCTAGTGGCTGTCAATCAGACAGTCACTAGAGGCATTTCCTGATGGCTAGGCAACTTTTGGCTCTGCATGAGGACATCCAGCATTAGTTAAATCCCATAGGAAAGCATTGAAGCATGCACATTAGTCCCCCCACCCACTCCCTGTCAGGTGACGTTAAAGGAGACGAAACACTGACCCAGAGCCAAGGGAGATCAGCACTGGAATCAGGTTATTGTTACATGGTTGTTTTTTTTTACCTTTGCAGTGCTGGAAGGGGGCAGAGGAAACTATAGTGTAAGGAATACAAGTTGGAATTCCATACACTGTAGATTCTCTTTAATGATAAAGTGTGTCCTTTCTTAATGACGTATATTTTTACCATTGTGTCAAACTTTTTCAAAGAAGAGGATAGTATTGTATCTCACTGTGGCCAAGTGGTCCATTAGGTGATTTTCTTAAATATTAGCTCTCACTTCCACAATTTATGGAACTAATGTTCCCAAGCAGCAGCCAGGGCTGTCCTCACATGTAATACATACTCTTATTAAAGAGCTTTTGGGCACTGCTCTGGAAAGCTTCCAGAGTTCGTGGTGCCTATGTGCAATTTTTAATTGCTGCATTGTCATGACCCACAAAACAATTTTAATTTGAAATATTGGGCCCCCTATTTAGTGTATCTCTCCATCTCTCATTACTCAGACTGTGCCGGCAGTGTGTTGTGTTTGTGTCTGTGTGCCCACTGGCTGTGTTTAGTATGTGTGTGCTGTAGGTAATATGTGTGTGATGTATGCTGACTCTGTTTAATGTGTGTGTGTGGTGTAGAGGGGGATAAAAAAAATTCCCTGGTGGGGTCCAGCAGGGGATAAAAAAAAAGATCTCTGGTGGTCAGGCAAAGGGTAAAATTACAGTTTAGGGCTTTCCCCCCTGCAAACTGACAACCCACAATAATTGCTCCTTCGCAGTCCGGTGCTCATTAGCGAGTACAGGACTGTGAGTGGGGGATTACTGTGCTCTGGTCTGGCCATGTGTCATCACTGCTGCTTGCTCACAGAAGGGGTGAGGGGGGCAATAGGTCGTAAACTGAATTGTTCGGTAGACGAGGATCCCTGGAACCTATGTTTGTGTGAATTCCCAGGACTCAGAATCAGGGGATTCCCAGTGCTAGAGAGCTGGTCATATGTCTGCGCAGTCGTTAAACAAGTGAGGACTATATTAATCCCTGATCATTTGGTGGTGGAACTTGCGACTGCACCTTTTACGTCTCTTCTGTCTGGCTCTTTACAAATGTGTCAGAGCATATGCCATGGTAACCTATGACAATGCTTTGAATAACTGGGAAGTGTCAGATTGCAAGGGAGAGTTCCCAGTGCAGACTACAAGCTCCCTAGCACTTTGCACCATGGGGCCCTCTTGGTTGGTTGGAGAGATGCTCTGAACTCTGGCCACATCTTGCCCTTTTGGATGGGTCAGACTAGTGTGCCATGCAAAACCATGTGCCATATGTTTCTGACTCTAAATCAAGATGTCTGAGCCACTTTGTGTGCCATAGTCTCATTATCTTCCTTTAAACTTTTTTTTTTTTTTCTCTTCAGGTATCTCATTGACAGTCGGTGGTTTAAGCAATGGAAGAAGTATGTTGGTTATGACTCCTGGGATATGTACAATGTGGGAGAGAGCAATCTCTATCCGGGACCTGTTGACAACTCAGGTCTATTTTCAGGTATAGTAGGAAAAGATAAGAAAAATATGTACTTGCCAAAACTGATAGTGTAATTTTTTTTATTTTTTTTAGTCTGTAGGTAATAAAATGGAAAGGTTTTTTTTGGGGGAATGGATGAGGTGACATCCCAAAATTTTCATTTGGTATACTACTGTTCACATTTTGTGTGCTTTCATTACTTGATAATCATTCAGGTGCGTTCTTCTAACTGTAAATATTCAGAAGTTTACCTTTAAATTAAATGGTTACCATAAGAAGGGAAATCCGTCTGATGCTCAAGGAACACTATAGGGTCAGGAACACAAACATGTATTCCTGGCCCTATAGTGTTAAAAACACTATCTAGTCCCCACGGCTTCCCCTTGCCCCCCATAAATATAGTAAACACTTGCCTGATCTGCCTCCTTGGCTGACAACATCAGAAGTGATGATCTCAGCCAATCACAATACTTTCCCATTGCAAAGCAATTCTGATAATCTCAGCCAAAGAGGCGGGCCCGGGGCGGAGCCAAATGCCGCCTTGGCCAACCAGCGTCTCCTCGTAGAGATGCATTGCTTACAGCTCACCAGAACATGTGAAAGCATTGGATTGGATAAAATCTTAAATTGTGATGTCAACAAGGAGGTGGGTCGGGGGCAGGGACAGCGCTGGCGGGGACAAGTGGCGTTTGAAATTTGTTTTCTTACCTTTTTAAGGTGGCTAAGGGAGGGGGGCCAAGCCACCTAAATGGTGGTTTAGCACTATATTGTCAGGAATACATGTTTGTGTTCCTGACCCTATAGCGTTCCTTTAAGCTTCTAAGGGTTTTTTTCACGTTTTATTAGATTCTTTGTGATTCATCTGGTGGGGCTTGTGTGGTTCTTTTCAATTATCCATTTTCACAATGTTCAGAAGCACTTTCCTTCTGTGGTTTCTTTCAAATGAAATCACTTTTTCTGTTCTGTATAAAGTTGATCTTACTACATTACTTTTTAGCTGCCAGAAAAGCTTATATTTTTGTTTATTATAGAGTCTATCTTCTCTCCTAGATGCTGATACTCAGGCATTAAAGGAACATCTGATTGATGAACTGGACTATGTTCTGGTGCCAACTGAAGCATGGCTGAAACTGATGAGTTGGTATGGCAGTGTAGAAGGACAGCAGCCCATTGTGAGAAAGGTTTGTCTTCGCAGTTAAAAAGCAAAGCAAACGGTTGTGTGCTGTGGCTGCATTTACTGTCCCGTTAAATGCCCAGGTGCAGCTGCACAACCCTTAGTGGTGTCTGATTGTAATCTTTGATTTTTTTTTTTTTATTTTTTTTTTTATGTATGTATAGGTGGTTGAGCATGGCATGTTTGTAAAACATTGTAAAGTTGAGGTATACCTCATTGAGTTGAAGCTCTGTAATGACAGTGAACCAGATACCCTGATTCCACGGCACTTCAGCAAAGCAGACACTATAGGTAAGCTTCCAGAACTTTTTAAAAATGTATTCAGTTTTTGTAGACTATATTTAAATTTATGAATGACATACTGCTTTCTATTTTATGGCCAAATGTAAATGTTATGTACGTACATCTCTTAGCATGCTCTTTGAAATGTGGGGTGCAGATATTTGAGAAATGGGGTGCTCAGCACTTGCTGAGTGAGGAAGAAGCAATTGTCAGATATTTGGTCACATTTGTGCTCTGACGTACTGTCTGTTTCTCAGTGCTTAAAATAATAAATGAAAGGCACTTTTATGTTTTTGTCAATAATATTTATTAAGTGAATGAGAAACAGGAAGTGGTCTAGGCACTGTTTCTTGGTCTCTCCCTCAATTGTAAGATCGGGAGTAATGCGCTTATCTGAAATTTCTGACACGGCGTACATTAAAAGGTATTGCTCCTTACAGGTTTCCTTGTCTAGGGTTATCTATATCACTGATAGTGGTGTGCAGAACATTGTTGTAATATGATTCATGCCGTCTGCAACTGAACGGGTAACTAAGTCAGAAGTGGGTAGGCAGACTTTATTTTAAATTTTTACTTTAAATTATCACATTACCTGCCCCTTGCTAGTCAGAGGTATATTATATTTAATTTATTTTCTTGAAACATGGAACAAAGTTCATATGTGCCACTTTTTAAATTTTGCATATTCTTGTTGGATTATCCAGAAACTATAGAAAAAGAAATGAGAAATATATTTAGTATTCCGGTGGAGAAGGAGACCAGACTATGGAACAGATATATGACAAATACGTATGAGCAGCTCACCAAACCAGAGAACACTGTGCAGGATGCAGGACTTTATCAGGGCCAGGTAAAGACATATTTCTTTAAATATTGTCTGCTTGCAAAGACACTCTTATTGTCCTTTTCATTTTATTTCCATTTTGTTTTTTCCCCTCCCTTCATAGGTTCTGGTAATAGAACAGAGGAATGCAGATGGTACATGGCCCAGGCAATCACAGTCAAAGTAAGTCCTTAGTGAATATATTCACATGTATGTATATATGCCCTTTCAAAGAAAACAAAAAAGTATTTTGCGGCTATTAAGTGTATTTCATATGTGTTTTTGTTTTTTTTAAATGCTGCCCTGGCCAACTAGCATCTCCTCATAGAGATGCATTGCGTCAACTAAATTCTGGAAGGAAATCTAAATGGTTGTCACCATAGCAGGAAGCAATTAGACTTGTTTTGACATTAAAAGTACACTCTAGGCACCAAAACAACTTTAGCTTCATTAAAGGACCACTACAGTGCCAGGAAAACAAACACTTTTTCCTGGCACTATAGTGCCCTGAGGGTGCCCCCACCCTTAGGGTCCCACTCCTGCCGGGCTGAAGGGGGAGGAAGGGGGTTAAACACTCACCTTTCTCCAGCGCTGGGCTCCCTTGGCGCTGGGGACTCTCCTCCTCCTTCCAACGTCATCGGCTGAATGCACATGCGCGGCAAGAGCCGCACGCCCATTCAGCCAGTCCATAGGAAAGCCTTCTCGATGCTTTCCTATGGACGCTGGCGTCTTCTCACTGTGAAAATCACAGTGAGAAGCGCGGAAGCGCCTCTAGCGGCTGTCAAAGAGGCTGGATTAACCCATATTTAAACATAGCAGTTTCTCGATGGCCTTCTAGAGCCTACATTAGTCTCAGGAGTGTGATTAAAGTTCAATTTACAGAGCAGAAGATACAAAAAATTCTGAAGTGAAGTTAGAGGAACCCTATAGTCACCTAAATTACTTTGACTAAATAAAGCAATTTTAGTGTATAGATCATTCCCCTGCAATTTCACTGCTCAATTCACTGTCATTTAGGAGTTAAATTACTTTGTATCTGTTTATGCAGCCCTAGCCATACCTCCCCTGGCTATGATTGACAGCCTGCATGAAAAAAAACGGTTTCACTTTCAAACAGATGTAATTTACCTTAAATAATTGTATCTCAATCTCTAAATTGAACTTTAATCACATACAGGAGGCTCTTGCAGGGTCTAGCAAGCTATTAACATAGCAGGGAACAAGAAAATCTTAATTAAACAGAACTTGCAATAAAGACAGCCTAAATAGGGCTCTCCTTACAGGAAGTGTTTATGGAAGGCTGTGCAAGTCACATGCAGGGAGGTGTAACTAGGGTTCATAAACAAAGGGATTTAACTCCTAAATGGTAGAGGATTGAGCAGTGAGTCTGCAGGGGCGTGTTCTATACACCAAAACTGCGTCATTAAGCTAAAGTTGTTCAGGTGACTATAGTGTCCCTTTAACATATTGTTGAAAATGAAACCATTTTGTGAGTCAGTCTGAGGAGCTATAGCTAGGACTGCATAAACAGAAACAAGTTATTTAACTCCTAACTGGCATTGAATTGAGCAGTGAAACTTCAGGGGCATGATCTATATGCAAAAACTGCTTAATTAAGATAAAGTTGTTTTAATGCTTCTAGTATTGCTTTAAAAACAAGTCATGGGTGTAGCAACAAAACAAAATAAGAGGGCAGAAGTATAGCTGCATGTTATATTAAAACCTCTTGAACATTAAAGGCTTTATACCACCTGACAATTTTAACACCCCTACTGTGCACTAAGAAAGTATTCAAACCCATTTTTCATACTTTTATGTTTTATCCTTATGCTACACTTTTATTTTTTTAAATCTACACTGGTTATCCTATACTGACAAAGCAAAAACAGGTTTTTGAAAACTTTGCAGATTTATTAAAAAGTAAAAACTGAAATATCACAGTGACATAAGTATTTGGATCCTTTAATTTTGCTCTGATTCATCCTATTTCTCTCGGCCATGTTTGGGGTGTTTCTACAATTTGATTTGTGTCCACCTGTGGCACTTTCAAATAATTAGACATGATTTTGAAAGGCTCAAACCTCTCACAGCTATAATTGCATATCCGAGGAAATCTAAGTCATGAGTTCAAAAGAGCTGCCTGCAGAGTTTAGGGACATGATTGTGTTGAAGCACAGACCTGGGGAAGGCTACAAATAATTGCGGCTCCATTGAGGGCTCCCAAGAGCACAGTGGCCTCCATATTATATTGCAGCGTTAAAAGGACATCGATGAAGTGGTCTGGGTGATTTATAGTGTGCCTTTAAGACCGTTGCTATGTTGTTCAACTGTACTTTCCTACATTCCCATCAAATACATATTTATATATAAAAAGGTTTTAAGGAACAGTATAAAGTTAGCAATGCAGTTTTGTATTCCGAACGCTATCGTGTCTCATTGTATATTTCTTTAGGCAGCCTATGTCTTCCATGTAAATGGTTAAAAACCCTGTCTTTTACTTGCCTCTCTCCAGCAACCACACACTGATGGGGTAACCTAATGTGCATTTGCAGCAATGCCACACGTGCATTAGAGGTTCCCCATAGGAAGCGCTGAATCAATGCTTTCCTATGGGGATTTTGAAGACGCTAGGTGTCCTCATGCAAATTTTAAGGAGATACATGCTTTCCTCTGATTTCCTACATTTATAAAGCACAAAATTAAGTATAAAAATAATAAAATGGCAGATATATTAAGTGTGTTTTTTTTTTTTTTTTACTTATATCAATGCAACTATATAAAAAAAAAAAAAACTCAGAATAGATTCACTTGTTAGTCCTGATAGTTAAAATACTGATCCTGATGTGTACCATGCTATATCTTGACATTAGCCATCAATCACTGCATAGGGTTGCGGCAAGTAACAGCAATTTTATTCAGCCATTTAAAGGGACACTATAGTCACCAAAACAATTTTAGCTTAATTAAGTAGTTTTGGTGTATAGATCATGCCCCTGCATTCTCACTGCTCAATTCTCTGCCATTTAGGAGTTAAATAACTTTGTTTATGAACCCTAGTCACACCTCCCTACATGTGACTTGCACAACCTCCATAAACACTTCCTGTAGAGAGTCATCTACAGTTTATCCTTCCTTTATTGCAAGTTCTGTTTAATTTAGATTTTCTTAACCCCTGCTATATTAAAGGACCACTATAGTGGCAGGAAAACATACTTGTTTTCCTGGCACTATAGGGTCCTTGGGTCCTCCCCACCCTCTAGACCCCCTCTCGCCGGGCTCTAGGGGATGGAAGGGGTTAAATCTTGCCTATTTCCCCCCGCCGGGCTCCTCCTCCTTTTCCCCGTCATTGGCTGAATGCGCATGTGCGTGAAGAGCCGCGCGCGCATTCAGCCAGTCCATAGGAAAGCATTTTCAATGCTTTCCTATAGGCGCTGGCATCTTCTCACTGTGATTTTCAGTGAGAAGCGCGGAAGCGCCTCTAGCGGCTGTCAATGAGACAGCCACTAGAGGCTGGATTAACCCATAGCTAAACAGAGCAGTTTCTATGAAGGGGAAGGAAGGGGGTTAAATCACAGTGAGAAGCGCGGAAGCGCCTCTAGCGGCTGTCAAAGAGACAGCCTCTAGAGGCTGGATTAACCCATATTTAAACATAGCAGTTTCTCTGAAACTGCTATGTTTACAGCAGGCAGGGTTAATCCTATATGGACCTGGCACCCAGACCACTTCATTAAGCTGAAGTGGTCTGAGTGCCTATAGTGGTAATTTAATAGCTTGCTAGACCCTTCAAGGCCCTCCTGTATGTGATTAAAGTTCAATTCACGGAGAAAGAGATACAATTATTTAAGGTAAATTACATCTGATTGAAAGTGAAACAGTTTTTTTTTTTTTTTTCATGCAGGCTCTGTCAATCATAGCCAGGGGAGGTGTGTCAAGGGCTGCATAAACAAAAAAATGATTTAACTTCTAAATGGCAGTGAATTGAGCAGTGAAACCAGAGAGGCATGATCTACACACAAAAACTGCTTCATTAAGCTAAAGTTGTTTAGGTGACTGTAGTGTTGATGTCTGTAGTGTTCCGGGTGTAGGCAGAGTGAGATCCCTAGTCTAATTCGTATGGCTCATTGAGCATTTTAACTGTCCTCTTTGAGCTATTCATTAAGTGATCCTGATATGAAAAGTGGGATGCCTGTACTGGAATACAATTTTATTCTTAATTTTCAGGATTGTTATCCTGTAGGTGTATTTTAAGCTTTTGGCTTTATTTCTAGATCAAGCACAGCGACAAGTAGAAGCTTTACTACCTCTGGAAAATCATCAACATGCAGTTACTCTGCTTCATCGTCATCCTCCTCTTCAGCTATTGCAAATGGGGAGAGCAGCAGCTCCTATGCACTGAACAACAGTTCCAGGTTGGGCAAAGGGTAACATTAATCTTCTTTTAAAGTCCATACATGCTACCATCAAATAGTTATTTCAGAAATGGAATTTCTACTGCTAATGTGACTTAAAAAAAAACTACGGTAATTTTGAAATACCGATGGGTACCTGAAAAATTGCTTTTGTGTAAGGGAGTACAGCATGTCCTCTACATCACTGCTGTCTTACGTTTCTGGTATTTTCAAGCACTGTGTTATGAATTTGTATATTATAACTTTTTTTAAATGCAATTAGAAGAGGTTTGTTTGTTTTTTTGCTATAATTACAATATTGGAAACGTATGTCAGAATTGCTGCTATTAACTTCTTAAGGACCTATACGTTTTTGTGCTGCAACGTGTTTGTATCAAGGTCTTCTTGACTCTTTTGCATTATGCGTTCATTCTAGAATTCTATTGTATACAGAACTCAATATTAAATAGGAATAAAATATTTTAACAAATTGGGGAAAAACTGTAAATGTGTATATATTTTTAGGTTTACATTTAAAGGGACACTCCAGTGCCCAAATAGAAAATAAAAATCTGTTTACTAGCTATATTCCAAATGAAAACTTGTATGTATTTAATTAGATTCCTTTTTATTTTGTGTGTGTGTGTGTGTGTGTGTGTGTGTGTGTGTGTGTGTGTGTGTGTGTATATATATATATATATATATATATCTGCTTGCTGAACCTGCAGATGGTTTGTTAGCTGTCTTTGCAAGTCCTACTTTCCTAACCCCGCCTAGACTTTATGTAGCTGTCCAATTGGAGACTTTCCAATGCATCTCAATGAGCATTATTTGCAAGGCAGTTAATGTGGCCATTTGAGTTTAGCTCAACTTGGCTAACCAAACCAGAAAGCAACTGGACCTGTTGACTGCTTGAAAGCCAGGTGGTGTGTAACAAGGTGAATTTATAAGTGTCTCAGTTTTGATAGAAATCTGCAGTTTTTGTAACATGAAAAAACAGAGGACACAATCTTCACACACAAAGCTTTTCAGCTAAGATAACGTGCTTTAGGGGTCTGGAGTGTCCATTTAATATTTTCTACACATCAACTGCAAATAAAGAAAACTAACTCAAAATATATACACTAATTAGCCCTGATTGTTAAAATGCCCAATATGTCTAGGATTTCAGTACATTTTTAAAAGTTATAAAACAAATACTGCAATGTGTGAATTACACTTTTAAAGCTAAACTTTGCAAAATTCGGCATGCAGAGATTATAAATTTAATAGCGGTCACGGAAACCAAAATCACTACACAAAAGCTTATAACCCGGATTTGCCTGGGTTTGTTGTCATTTAATAAAACGGACAAAGGTATCTGGAAGTAGCCCAGAAACCATGTAAAGCAAAAGATGTGCATTTTTGTGGTTGACTTATGGAGAAAAATGAAAATAAACACCACACAAACCTAAACTAGCATTTTTTAACTTTACAAGTATGTTATTAGGATCTTTTTATACGTGACTTACAGCTAAATTGAAACAGTTTTAAGGTTTGTCCTCTGAAAGCCAGAATATGTAATTATAGCGTTTCTTTATCAAACTTTTCAATTGGTACAATTTTCTTCCTGTTTCAGTGGCTATAGTACCTCCTATAATTCATACAGCTACAGAGAACCACAGTCTCAACCAGGTCTTTGTGGGCTCAGCAACCTTGGCAACACCTGCTTCATGAACTCTGCTTTGCAGGTAGGCACATTACCTCCAAAAAGTGGTTTACTGGGGTTGTGGACCTAAAAAAAGAATCTTCTCCATCTCTCTCCTTCTGTCCTCCCTTCGTAGTGTCTGCTGTGTGTATGCATACTGCTGTGTTTAGTATGTGTGTGCAGGGCTTGTTGGCTGTGTGTGTGGTGTGCACTGGCTTCATGCTATGTCTGTGTGTAATGTGGGGGGTGTATGCGGTGTTCAATGTGGGGGAGGTTGTTGGGTTGAGAATGTAAGGATGCTCTGTGTCTTGCCCCCCCTCTTGTTTACCTTTCTTCCAGGGAGGGTGAGTAATTGTTTTTTAGAGCAGGCAGTGGCTCCAGCAGCGAACAGAATGCATATAAAGCCTGATGCCACCATTAGTATATGCTAATATATAAGTGGAACTTCAAATATAGCAATATAAACTGAGTGCTCAATGGATCCAGAGTGTTACTCTTTATCATGTGACAGCAGGGGGTTTCTGGCACCATAACCATTCCATGGTGCTGTAGTGGTTATGATGCTTTAAAATTGGTTGTGCCATTTGTAATTTCTACATGGTCATCTACTGCTCATTGCATGTTATTGAATGTTAATCCATAAAATGTTTTATTCCACACAATCCTGTTTAACCATTGAAAAGACATTTGTTTTTGTTTGTAAGTCAGAAAAGGTGATGTCAATCTTTTAATAATTTTTTTTCTTGCAGTGTCTGAGTAATACTCCTCCACTGACGGAGTACTTTAGAACAGATGAGTATAAGAAGGAGATTAACCGAGACAATCCACTGGGGATGAAAGGAGAGATTGCAACGGCCTATGCCGATTTGATCCGACAAATCTGGTCAGGGGACCACTCCTATGTGGCTCCACGAATGTTTAAAGTAAGTGAAAATGCATACATTTTGCAATTACTGGAACAAAAGAAATATAGAAACATTTTGAAAATATACTGGTTGAACAGGTAGCAGAGAAGCTTTTAGAATTTTGCAGAGTTTCATGTTTAATGTCAAGGTTGGAAACACTAAAAGGAACAAAAGTGTTGTGAATACAAACCTGTATTCCTAACACTATAATGTCTCCATCCTTAACCAATTAGGTCTGCCCCACCGCCCAATCATTAAAGGGTTAAAAACATTTTTACTTACCTTAATTCCAGTGCCGAGACACCCTTGGCGCTGGCCAGGTCTCCACCTACAACAGCATGACGATAGTGAGACCTAAAATGCTGTGCATGCATTAAAGCTTCCACTTAGGAAAGCATTGAATCCATGCTTTTTTATAGAGCATTTGAAGACGTTTGACGTCCTCATGCAAAGGCACTGCACCCAGACCATTTCAATGAGATGAAGCAGTCTGGGTGCCTGTAGTGTCCCTTTAAGTAATTAATGGATTAGGCGATAATTTGGATTACTTTAGGTATATTAAAAACATGTGCATTGGAAATTGGGTTGGGTAAAATCTGCTCAATGAGTGAATAAAACATCAGAGGAGATGTGTGACTCACCAATGGACAAATTGGAAGGGAAAAAACAAATTTTATAACGCAGCATTAAAAAGTTTTCATTCTGTCTTGTGCTGAAGAAGGAAGGGAAGGGGATATTCTAAATTCTTATAAATGCCTTCACAAAAGTAAACTATATCACAGTTAAAAGTTACTGCAAAATTTGTAGAATAAAATGCAGATTTCCTTGAAGTCTCTGAACAGCTAAGGGCACAGTATTATTGACATTTATATATATATTCTTTACTAGTACGGTTGGACTTTGAGAGCAGAATTGGAAAGGGTTTATTCAAACAGCATTTTGCTCAAGATCCAATGGTGTTACTATACTTTAAGGTGCCACAGCAAGTATTAGCTCTACTAGTTTTGGGAAGTGTCTTGGTCCCCACTGTAATCCCCCCAGTGTTGCCAACAATTAAGAGATTTTAAAAGACCTACCTATTGTGTATTGTTTTCAACTTGCTCCCATAATGTCTCCCCATACAATGGTAAAGCAATGTCTGCATCTCAATAAGTTCACTTTACTCCCTAGTCAGACCTTACTTTGGCTACACAACCATACAATCTGGTTTAGCAAGGTGGGTTACAAACTTTTAAAACATTAACACATTAAGTACTCATGACAACGACCGTCAATCTGCTTAAATTGCTCCAAACACCTTCCTACCAGGAAATGCATCTGAAGATCGCACACCATGCATATTATTTCCCTCAAAAAATATTTCCTTAAACTCAACTGTTTAAAATGTGAGACAGATGGAGTAGACCTGTAACATTGCTTTGGGTAATGTGAGACAAAGCTATGGTGTCTCCTGACATTGTTAGGGCGTGGTGTTAGGGGAGATGGGAAGGTCTTCCTGGGCCGCTACCAAGATGACTCTACGCAGAACTTCCTTACTCGTATCTGCTCCAATTGGCTCCTCCCTGAAAGGCTCTAAATCCATGGGATAACTGTATCCCTCTTTCCTACAGTATAGCCTCATATACATTTTGTTAATTATTTTTTAATAGTGGGCATAGTTATCAAAAAACCCATATTTGATGGCTTTTTATGTATTTTTTTATTTTTTATTAGTGTTTGTAAGCAAAGTAAATCCTTACTGGCAAAAGCTATATTACTAAAAGGGAAAGCAATTTGCAGTGAGACTTACATTCAAGCCCAATCATCTATCCAAATATAAGACCAGTGTCTAAAAGATAAAGACTGTGCGTGAATGTGTTGATTAATACATCTGTTTTAAATTTTCTACATCTTTATCTTTTTTGTTAGACCCAGGTCGGCAGGTTTGCACCCCAGTTTTCTGGCTACCAGCAGCAAGACTCTCAAGAGCTGCTAGCTTTTCTGCTGGATGGTCTGCATGAAGATCTCAACAGAGTTAAAAAGAAGCCCTATTTAGAGCTGAAAGATGCCAATGGCAGGCCAGATTCGGTATGAATTGTCCATGAAAAATCCTACATTAATACGCATTTAATGTATAACATTTATAAAACTGACCATTTCTATTGAAATCTGCTCTTATTGTAAAATGGGAAAAAAGTTAAAGCTAAAGTTCTTTAGTGGTTTGGATTGTCCAGCTGATATGCTTAAGAGCTGTTTTAATCTACAGTCTTGTCTGAATTCTTACGTTTTCCTTTGACAAGTCATTGTCATAGTTAAAAAAATTATTTTCAAAGACCAATACAGCAAAGCTGGTTATGATTTGACTTGTTGTAGTCTTTTATTGTTATTCAAATGTTTGAGTAAAAATGCACGTGTGATCCAGACAGTGATGTTTGGTATTTTTAATCTTGCTCCCTGAAGTTTAAGTAGGACGTGTATTATGATACTAATGTCCATGCTCAGTCAGTAACTTTTTCTTAATATGGAAATTAATGTCAAGTGAACTGTTAATTCGTACTCATCCTTGCAGGTTGTGGCAGTAGAAGCATGGGACAATCATCTGCGGCGGAACAACTCTATCATTGTTGATATTTTTCATGGCCTTTTTAAATCCACACTGGTTTGTCCAGAATGCTCTAAAGTCTCTGTGACCTTTGATCCCTTCTGTTATCTGACTCTTCCACTACCGATGAAGAAAGACCGGACTATGGAAGTGTTTTTGGTCCGTGCTGAACCCCAGTGCAAACCAACACAGGTAGACTATTCTTTGCATAAAACCCGTTAAGGACACGACATGTGTGACATGTCATAATTCCATTTTATTCCAGAAGTTTGGTCCTTAAGGGGTTAAAGGGACACTATAGTCACCAGACCAACTACAGCCTATTGTTTTTGTTCTGGTGAATATAATCATTCCCTTCAGTCTTTTTGCAGTAAACACTGTCTATTTAGAGAGGGCTGGGGGGCTAGATGTTGATTTTTAACACAATACAGGAATACATATTTGTGTTCATTTAACTTTAGTTTTTTTCACTGCTAGGGGGTATCCGTTGTTTTAGTACAGCTTGACAATTTACCTCTGGGAGTAAGATTTAAGCAAAGTTAATGAACTAGCAATGTGGCCTTTTAAATGGACAATTCAAGCTGTAGTTGGCTTGTTTTTATTTTTATATATATATATATATATATATATATTTATTTATTTATTTTTTTTGGATGTGTAATATGATCTATCAAAATATATGCAGCAAAAAAAATTGCTGCAAATCCTCAAGCCTTGTGAGCACTGCAATGAACTCTGTCCAAACAAAGAAGTGATTGCACCAAAAATGATTTCCTTTTTCATTTAGCACTGCTAAGCTTATGTTATAAGCAAGGCTTTTATTGGCATAACAGCAGGTTCTGGTAGTTGTAATTCAATTGTCAGGTGTCTACCTAAAAATGTAATTGCCGCTTGCCTTGGAGAGCTCAAACATTTTAATACAATCAGGATGACTAGGGTGGCAATAGTGGCAGCATTGTTTAGCTTGTCTACCCCCTCATTTATAAAGTTTAAAACTAAAATTGCAGACAAACATTTGATGGGTCAATTGACAGCCACGGTATATAGTTACTTCCCTTCGTTCTACAAGATATGGCTGTATTACACATCTGCAGATTTATTCAGACAGGCCTCGAAGACAGCGTTTCATCACAAGGGCCCCCACCCTCCGCCTTTATTTTGTTAGAACATGTTATTGGTTATGGCCAATCTAGTTTGGAAAATGTTGATTGGGACAAATATCTTGCTTTGTACAGTACATCTCCAATATTAATAAAAATAAACTGTGCCTGATTCACACAGCAAAATCATATTTATTAAATAATTAAAGAATAATAACATACCACAAAACCATATGTATTCTATCCTACAAATGGCACTTAGTGTATGGTTACCTGGAGTTTATCTTATAGGCCAATAATTTCTGTTACAGGCAATCGTGTTGCTTGTAAAGTACATATTCACTTTTTTAATCTTGATATTTATTTTGTTTCAGTACCGATTAGTTGTACCTAAGATGGGAGCTGTTTCTGACTTGTGCGCAGCTTTATCTAAGCTATCAGATGTGCCCGCTGAAAATGTAAGCATGACCTTTCCAGGGTGATTTCTATCGATATATTGTCATTTTAATTCCGGTTAGCCTTGACAACCCATAGCAAGATAAGTGGTTTTTGTGAGAACTATACAGTGATAAAGCCAGTTTGAGTGCATCAAAAGAACATTTTTCCATTTGCCAAAAGGCTTTTAAGAAGCCATAAAATCGAGTGTTGTTGTGTGATCCTAACACGTATAGCTTGGTGGAAAGACGAGACAGGGGATATGATAGAAACATTTTAAATACATAAAGGGGATCAACACCGTAAAGGATGAGATATTTAAAAGAAGAAAAACTACCACAACAAGAGATCATAATCTTAGAGGGGTAAAGGTTTAAAAATATGTTGAGGAAGTATTACTTTACTGAGAGGGTAGTGGATGCATGGAATAGCCTCCCAGCTGAAGTTTTAGTTTAACACAGTGAAGCAGTTTAAAGCGGCACGGTCATGCCGAACTTACCTTTCCCCAATCGCTTCCTCTTTCAGGATCTGTTCTTCATTTCTTCCTGTCTAATCTAGTTTATTATTGTTTTTAAACATAAGACGAAGTAGGGACTATTTTGTTTTATATATTTTTCTTACGCTTGTCTAGCTTTGACCCAGGTGAGGCACCAACTTCGCTCCATTTCCTGTGGTGAAAGCAATTTCCCCACAATTCTCACGTCTCCTGCAGCTGCTTAATTCGGGGTTCAAACGCTGGAGAAACTGCTGAATTTCATCCTAACAAAATGAGAACAGTTTGTGCATTCGTGTTAGAACGTAATTCGGTACTTTTTGTTCGGTTCGAAATTTCATTAGAATGAAAGAAATTCGTATCGGGAGTAGATTCCCTAACTCCCACGGTATTAGGCAGCCATCTACTAAAAGGCCGAAAGACCAAAATTGGTCTTTCAGCCAAATGTATGAATACGAAGTAAAGATTAAAATCTCCATTCTGCCCCTACTCGCTATACTGTACTGTGAGTAGGGGCATTCTACTAAACAGTGAGATACTAGTGAGCAGCCAGTCAGTTGTGTAAAAAAAAAAAAAACACCCAACATTCCAATAAAGTGCCACTTAGTGGGGCACCTATAAAAAAAAAAAAAAAATCTATGGGGGGTCGACAGTGTCCCCCGAACCCCCACACGTGCACTAAACAGAGGATCTAGTTGTCCCCCCTTGGCCCCTACCCATGAGCGGCAAGTGTGGGGGCCCATGTGAAAATATAGGGGGGAGGGCCTTTTGTCCAGCCCCATCAGCGGTGGTGGGTTCCCAAAGTTACATAGGGGGATCTATTGTCCCATAATGGTCCTCCCCGCCTATTCTCACTAGGGTCCCCACCAGCCGCTCATGGGTAGGGGCTGGAGGCAGTAGGTTCCCACTCCCATTGTATCTGAGAGGCCTCCACCTGCCGCTCATGTTTAGTTTAGTGTCCCCCATTTGCGATGCACGAGTGGGGGCCCATGGGCAAAGTCTTTCCTCCCCCATTGATTATTTTTATTGGTGCCCCACTAAGGGGTACTTTATTGGAATGTTGGGGGTCTTGCTTTGACCACAGGAAATGGAGGGGACTTAGCTCCTCCCCTGGGTTAAAGCTGGGCAAGTGTAGGAAAAACACCTAGGACAAAATAGTCCCTACTGTCTTATGTTTTAAATAAAGTAGATAGAAAGAATTGAAGAACAGATCCTGAGAGAGGGAGAGAAGAGGAAGCGATTGGGGAAAGGTAAGTTTGGCATGACAGTGCCACTTTAAGCATGCATGGGATAGGCTTAAGGCTATCCTAGCTATAAGATAAAGCCAGAGACAGAGCTATTTAGAAAATTGGGCAGACTAGATGGTCTGAATGGTTCCCATCTGCCGTCACATTCTAAGTTTCTATTATACACATCATTGTAGCTGCTGAAAAGAACACTTTATTACACCCCCCTCACCCCTCAAAAAATTAGTCACTGTTTAGTAGATCTACCCCAGTGAAAACATGCATACATTACTTTATGCATTTTTTTCCCTTTTTGCAGTATATCTAAAAGCAGTCCAGATCTTTGGACTGCAGCCTTTGCATGTCCTCTCCTTACTCCAGTCAGAGACTTTTCATTGAGAAGCCTCTGTGCTGGAGGCATGATCACACAATTGTGGCTTTCCAATGCTACTCAATGAACTGTAAATGCTCTCATTGACAACAGGGCAAGGCAGGTGTGCACTAACATTGCCTACCTGGCTATCTGACAACCAGGATGGCGTTTCTGCCCCAATTATAAAAGTGCCCATTTTTATTTTTTTTAATGAAAACTGTCACTTTTATAAACGGTCAGTAATGTGACAGTCTCCAGACACCTATAGCACTTCAGTAAGCTGAAGTGCTTTGTGTCTGGAGTGTTACTTTAATAGCATGTTGCATAATCCAGACATGACATTACCTATTATAGCAAGCCTGCAGTTGTTTTTGTCTTGACAGCCCTGTCACTTTTGTATTACAGATGGTGGTAACAGATGTTTACAACCACCGATTTCACAAAATCTTTCAGATGGATGAAATGCTGAGCCACATTATGGAGAGGGATGATCTCTTTGTGTGAGTAAACTGTTGGTTTTTGTGCATATACAAGACAAATCGTCATGCTTAATTTGTTCTGCCATGTTAAATTTGTTCTGCCATGTTAATATTCTGAGCAGAAATGCTCTACAGGCTTTGCAAGTTTGTACTGAGGAAAAACTCTAAATCTTACATTCTTAAATTAAGACTAATGTTGCATTTAACAATTGCAGCAATGTGTAGTTTGGTGCGGGTTAAACAGCAATTATTGAAGAGGGATACATGTATACTGGGAATTGCTACTTTTTGTATGTTAGAATTTTTTTGTGTTCCTATAACAATTTTAAGGGAGGCATAGATTGGTGGTAAAATAGTTGCATGAACAGGGTCAAAATACCCCAAGTTTAATACCTTAGGTTGTCTTCTTTTAAAAAAAAAAAAAAAAAATTAATAATAATATATACATGTGAAGGGTAATTTAGGGATTCCTGACAGATATCCGTGTAACTCTAATTTTGAAAAGAAATGGTTTGGAAATAGCAAAATGCTACTTGTACTTATTGCCCTATAACTTGCAACAACAAAAAAAGCTAAGGATATGTTCACATTGGGTAGTTTTTAACTCAGGGCAAAATTTAGAAACTATTTAGCACAGGTGTTTTTTGGCGGTTGTAAATGCTAAACACATTTTGGGGGTCAAAGTAAAAAAAGTGGTTTTTGGTTCTTTAAAAAAAAAGAGAGGAAAAAAAAAATTGTGTGTGTGTATATATATATATATATATATATATATATATATATATATAATTTTTTTTTTTTTACAGTAAATTATGATATGAATACACAAACCATGTCCCCTCTCCCTCCCACCCCTATCCCAAGTTGCTAAAGAGGTTAAAACCCCTTTAGTGACTTACCTGTATCCAGCGCCGATGTCCCTCGGCTCTGGTTCAGGGTCCGCCCACGATCCTCCCCCTGCCAATGTTATACGGCGGGGGAGACCAATTGCGCATTAGATCTCCCCATAGGAAAGCACTGAAAATGCTTTCCTATGGGGATTTCAGCGACGCTGGAGGTCCTCCCATAGCGTGAGGACGTCCAGCGATGCTATAGCACAAAATCTGTGCTATAAACCCGAGGAGTTAACCCTGCAAGGTAAATATTGCAGTTTATGAAAACTTCAATATTTACAGTTGCAGGGTTAAGGGTAGTGGGAGTTGGCACCCAGACCACTTCAATGGGCAGAAGTGGTCTGTGTGCCTGTAGTGTCCCTTTAAGCTGTAGTGGTTCTGGTGATTAGTGTTCCTTTATTACTCATGACATCCATGGACAATGCCATAAGCAAGTGAACACAGGTGGTTCTGCAGCAAGGATTTTCAGTGGCTTTAATGTTCATACTTGCATTAGTACTGCATGTACAAATGCCACCAGTAATAAATATCTTAACCCCTTAAGGACCAAACTTCTGGAATAAAAGGGAATCATGACATGTCACACATGTCATGTGTCCTTAAGGGGTTAAAGGAACACTAGAGTAAGGAATAGAAATGTGTATTCCAGACACTAGTGTTAAACGCATTTTAGGTTGCCAATCCCTCTTGCTCCTGTAATAAAGTTAAAACTTACCTTTATTTGCCCCTGCTCCGTCTCCTTGGCTGACATCGAAATTGACAATATTAGCCAATCCAATGCATTCCCGTAGGAAAGCATTGGGAGACTTTCGCACATTCGCAGCATGCATTAATCCGCATCTGCTCGTAAAGATGCATCTTTGTAAAGGACGTTCAACACTGTAAACACTGCCTTTTTTTCTGAAAATGCCTCCTAGGACATACTAAACACACCAGAATAACTAACTTAAGCTGTAGTTGTTCTGGTGACGATAGTGTCTTTGTAAGTGCTGGACATCAAAACGCTAATGAAGGTCTTAAGTCAGTCATGTTTTACATACAAAACCTACACAAGCACTAGTGTGCACATTAAATCCTCTTGATTAAAGATTTTCCAAAATTCTGATGCCATTTTGAATTGCGTTTGTTCCACCGTATTTTCTTGTTTCCACATTAAGTCTACCCACACATATAAGAACCATTCATTTAATTGGAATTTATGATACCAGTAATGTATGCATTTCACATTATTTTGTTTGAATAAAATATTTCTTAAAAATGTGATATTAGAAAAACAAAAATGTTTTCAAAGTTTTACTTTTCAATGTATAAATTAATTGCAAAATTAAAAAAATGGGAATAGATCAGTTCTGATTTTTAAAATATCTTCTAAGTCTAGGACATGTGTGAATAAATACTTGTGCTGCATCTTCTGAGTGCTTTAACCCCTTCGTGACCAGACCGTTTTCAATTTCCTGACCGTTAAGGACCAGGGCTGTTTTTACATTTCTGCAGTGTTTTTTAGCTGTAATTTTCCTGTTACTCATTTACTGTACCCACACATATTATATACAGTTTTTCTCATCATTAAAGGGACACTGTAGGCACCCAGACCACTTAAGCTAATTGAAGTAGTCTGGGTGCTGTGGCCCTTTTGCACTTAGTGCTGCAATGTTAAACATTGCAGTTCCAGTTCCTCACGGACCTCCAGCAAAAGATTTCAGTCACCCAGACGGTCACTAGAGGTGCTTTAATGGGTCAGTGCTGCTCAACATGCAGCACTGGCATTCTGCGTCTCTACACACTGCTTGGAGACGCTAATTGTTTCCCAGGTAGGTGCATTGATTCAGAAGATTTTCAGCGCATGCACAATAGCCTCCCAATGTTTTCCTAAGATCTGGATTGGATGAGATCATCAAGATTCATGCAGCCGTGATGAGACCAGCACACGATAAAGGTGAGTAAAATCCTTTTCACTGCTCTGACAGGGGGGGCTGGGGGCCTACATAGATGTTTGTATTCCTGACACTATAGTGTTTCTCTATACTTTTATGTGCAGTGCTGCTCCTTCTTTCTATATAAAGATTCTTAACTTGTTCAGACACTATTGTTCCTATGGTCAACTACATAAATTGTAGGCCCTTCTATTGTACAAGGTAAATGTTAAAACATTAATCTGTATTAATGTCTCAATGCATATTTCTTCCTTTAAAGCTACGAAGTTAAATCTCCAAGAGCTGATGATTCAGAATGGCTCACACTGCCCATATGCTTCAGGGAGCGGCGTTTTCGTCAGACAACTTCTGCTGGCACAGTTCTATTTGGACAGCCACTCCTAATCTCCGTACCAAGACACAATCTCACTGCAGACACCTTGTACAATATTGTATTGGAAAGAATCCAGTAAGTGTTACTTGAACTTAAAAGCAGCTGCAAATACAGCAACAAGTCTCTTTCTCAATGCAGATTTTAAAGTCTGACAAATTCTAAATGTTTGGTTTAACTACAGTTTTACACAATGCATATTAATATTGCAGAAGAGTATACCTTTCACGATTTTTGGGGGGGCAATAACATGTTAGGACCGACTTGTGGACATATTATTTCCGTTCTGGGTTATCTGATTACATTTACCTCTAGCATATTCTTGAAAATTAGTCCATTTATTAACTCCATTTATAAAGCAAGTCAGGTTTAATTTACGATCTGCGGGTCTTGGTTAAAGCGTTTGTTGTTTTTTTCCTCTTCATTACTAGCTGCCTAAAATAAGTAAATTGAAATAATGAAAGAAGAAAAAAAAATACTTGGAGCTTTTTGTTTAAAGCATGCTCTGCAACAACTATGTTTTGTATGTAAATTTTTTTCATTTTAATTTCTAATCTTTTCCTGTAGACGTTACTTGAGATCTCCACTGCCGGAGGCGTACAGTTGCCTAAATCTTGATGCCCGGGCTTGCAATGGCTCTAATGGAATTTATGATGGTATGATGTGTAATTAATCAAACTGGAACTAAATGAAAATAACTCCAAAACAAATCCCCAAAGGTGTATATTCTTTCACACATGTGCTCGCATACACGACTCCAGAAAACATCTTTTATTGTCACTTGCATCACTTCTTTGGCAGAATGACTTTTGTTGAATTGGCAAATTGTTCATATATTTTTACATATTGAACATTAAACCTTTTATTTTGTATATTTTGGGGGGAACTTTCTTAAAGTCCATTGCAGGCAAGCCCCCCCCCTATCCCCCCATGCACTTCCTCTGTAAATATTTTTTTATCTTGCAAAGCAAATTTGATTTGTTTTTGTGTTGGTTTTTGTTTTGCTTTGCAATAGGGCTTGCTGTATTTCCCATATTTTGACTTGTTTTTTTATTTGTCAAGATGAGGAAATGGATCACCAGGAAGAAAGAGATGAAAGGGAAGAATCACAAGGAGAGTCAAATGGCCAATCAGATGATAGCGTAGAGGATGAAAGCTCAGAAGGCGGCTGTAGCCCTTGTAACAAGATGCCAAAGAAAGCCCAAGATTGCCGCAAGAGGCTATTCACCTTCAGTCTTGTCAACTCCTATGCTACATCAGATGTGGGTACCATGCCTGCGGAAGGATCCATCCTGAAACTTAACTGTAAGTTCAAACGGTAACATTTAGATGTTCGGACCTTTATTTTCTTTTCTTTTAAGGGGCCAGCGGGGGTGAGGGACCCAAAAATATTCAGAGTGTTGTTACCTTTCTGTGGTAGAAAGCATGCAATTGCCTACAAAACCATTATTGTACCCTAGAAGTGCTGCTTTGCATTAGTACATAACGACTGGTAGATTTCCATTCCTGATTTGGTAAGAACTTAGCTGGGATGCTGCACACTGTGTTTTTGCATCTAATACAAAAAAATTGTTTTTGTTGTTTTTATTTTTTGCTCTATATAAAACTGCTAATAACAAAGTTATAGACTGTAATAAATTTATAAAAGAGGCACATAGGGAACACAATAGGCACCCACCACTTCATCTCAATAATGTTGTGTGCGTGTGGTCCTCCCCCTACACCCATGCAGCTGAAAACATTGCTGTTCACTAAGTGTTTAACCCCTTAAGGACCAAACTTCTGGAATAAAAAGGAATCATGACATGTCACACATGTCATGTGTCCTTAAGGGGTTAAATATGCCTTGAATCGGGACTTATATAAAGTGACAAAGAAGGGACTCTTTGTTTATTGATACAAACAATAAAAATTCTAAACTAGAAAACACGGTAATAGGTGTATTCCTTAAAGTAAAAGGTAACTCTAGAACTTTGGTACGTAACCTGTTAATCTTTGTGTAGTCATCTAGATTATAGTGATTTTAATGAAAACTACCTTGTTCCCTTTGTCTTAGCATGGTGTATTATAGGTTTCCTCTGGCGGTGACGTGTGAATGTGACAAGCTAGGTGGTGGGGGCTTTGTTACCGTGCCTGTTTTGTAGCCCCTAGGCCGCTGGCCTATCCCTGTTGTGGTATGGGTGTATTTTATCGTTGCATTGAAAGCAGTTTTGAGGCTACTGAGGACAAGGGTAGATTAATGGGAATGTTTAAGTCCCCAAGAATTAGGGATGGAATATTAGAGGAGAGGAAATAGGGAAGCCAAGCAGCAAAGTGGTCAAGGAAGGGGGACGATGAATGATGGCAATATTAGCAGAAATGGGTTTGAAAAGGCGAATTGACTGAAATTCAAATAAGGAGAGGCATGGCCGCGCTGCCGATCGCAATGGAGGAATAAACCAGAGCTCTACAATCCCTCACCAGCACCTCTAAAAGCACCCAAAGCCGACCATGGGGAAGAACTCCAGAGTGGTAAGCTCCCCCAGGAAATTGGGGTCGCACCAGGTTCACATAACTGCCTCCATGCGGCATTACCTGGCAACGCCGGCGGATTTAACCTCCCACGCTGCTTCAGAGACCTGTCCACTACCCATTACTGCTCACATGCCAACAGTCATGCACCCTCTGTATCTTTCTACCTATTTTCTTTACCAATGGTTACACAGACTGCACTACTAGCACATAGTAAACTGGCTTAGGATTCTGAAAGCAAAAGGGGAAATGGGATTGCTTGACAAAATTTGAAGTTTTTTTTTTTTTATTTAAACATTGTTGTTCTCCAATTATACAATATTTTGTACCTTACACATAAACACCCCCTCCGACACCCATTGCCTTAACCAACACTGGTTGGCTCTGCGCACACTCCATCTCGGTGGGGACTGAGCCCTCCCTGCGCAGGGACCTGGAAGATTTATCTAGCTCAATTTCCACGCCCACACCCGGGCTCCAATACCTCCCCTGTCCCCCTCTCCTTCTTTCCCTCTCTCCCTCTCCTTCTTTCACTCTCTTCTAGCTCCTGTACGGCGCTCTCTACCGCAACAAAACGTGAGCTCCCTCGCCTCACACATAGCTAAAGCTCATGGGTATAGCAGTGAAATGACGACCACCCAGACTTACCGAACAGCACCCATCAACCTCCTCTCCATAAATGCTAAAGGCTTTCATATACCCCAAAAATGATCCCAGGCCCTGAGATATTTCCATAGCCCTAAATCACACATAGTGTTCATTCAAGAGACGCTCCCAAAATGACGAGTAACTGCTACACACAATGATTCGAGTAACAACCTAGATTGGAAATCCAAGGGCCCTGCCATCTTATTACATAAATCCCTACAATTCCTACACAAAGAGACACTGGTAGTTAAAGGCGGGATATATATATATATGCGTCAAGGGCATGGTGCAAACCAAGCCCTACACGCTGCTCAACTTATATGTACCCAACACCAAACAAGACCGCTTTATAAAATCAACCCTGCAAGCAATTGAAGGATTCGCTGAAGGGTACCTCATCGTCGGGGTGGGGGGGGGAATCTTAATGTTGCTCTAAACCCACGCCAGGACACATCCACAGGCACATCCACAGGCACCTCCGCAGTACCCGCACACATCTTACAAACCATAAACAACTCCCTTCGGAACCATAGACTAGTGGACTGCTGGAGGGCCACACGCCTGGAAAGCAGGGACATTACTTTATTTTCAACCCCTTCAACATACTCTCGCCTGGATTATTTCTTCCTCCCCCCACTATTACCTAATGGACTTACAGACCATCCGCATAGGCACCACCACATGGTCCGACCATGCCCCACTAATGATGACCCTGACATCCCCACTATATAGGCCCACCACGATGAACTGGAGACTCAATGACACCCTCCTGACTGATCCACTGACTCTCCAAGAGATTCGTACCTCCCTCAACATATTTTGAAGAAAATGATAGAGAAGAAACTACACCGATGTGCCTCTGGCAAGCCCACAAATGTGTCATAAGAGAGGCACTTATAGCAAAGGGCTCTGCGATTAAAAGCGAACGGAAGGCACGCTTACCTTAACTTTAACAGGAAATTCAACAACTTGAGGGGACACACAAACAGACTGGGCGACCTGACAACTCTACGTAGGGAACTCTCGACACTACTCAATCTCTCATACCAGAAAATACCACGCAAACTAAAACATTCTTCATTATGCAGACAAATGCGGGTCCTTTAAGACAGCCAAAAGGCAAACGAACGCCTACATACCCAAAATCAGAGACACACAACCGACTGAAACTCTTACCCACAGACGTAGCCGGTGTCCTTCATGGATATTACTCTGACCTATACTCATTATCCACACAACCTGCAACCCCACCCAGAAACACACAAAACGGACATTAAGGAATACCTTGACCGAGACATAGATAAACTCCTCCCTGCAGTGGCGATCCAAGAGCTAGAAGAGCCCCTCGTGGCAGAAGAGCTAATCTTGAAACTCGCAAAGACTGGGAAATGCCCAGGTCCAGATGGTCTGTCTGTGGGCTACTATAAAAAAATATGCAGACATACTCACACCAAAATTTTTGAAAGCCTATAACTCTCTCAGGGAGGGAAGCACCATGACACAACAGATCCTGGCAGACAACATCTTATTGATCCCAAAAGAGGGCACCAACTACAGGCCCATCTCACTACTAAATTGTGACCTGCAACTATTTACGAAAATACTGTCCATGAGACTCCAACGGCACCTATCTGGTTTCATACTTGGAGATCAGGCGGGATTTGTTCGCAGGAGGGAGGCAAGGGACAATACTATACGAGCCCTGGCGGTCCTACACCACTCTACCCTGACCTCAGAGGGTCTTCTCCTGCTGTCTACAGACGCAGAGAAGGCCTTCGACAGAGTAAACTGGGACTGCTTGTTTGCAGTCCTGCAGAAAATAGGGATGGGCCAGAATATTATGAACTGGATGAAATCCCTGTACTCCTGCTCCACAGCCAGACTTTGTGTTAACGGAGCACTCACAGACCCTTTCCCGATCAGTAACGGCACTAGACAGGGCTGTCCGCTGTTTCCCTTGCTCTTCGTTCTGGTCTTCGAACCCTTCCTCGACACGATCAGACAAAACCCAAACATATAGGGGATGAGAATTGGCAAAACGGTCCACACCGTGTGGCCTTTGCAGATGACTTATGGCTTATCAAATTTTAAAAAGATCAGGTCATACACATTCAACGCCTCTTTGCCTTCAAATGGACAGACTCAGCCTTGAAATACCTAGGGATCTGGGTCACAAGGGAATGCAGCTCTACTGGGCCAACTTCCAGCCTCTCTTAGTGTGGCTGGGGGGAGGACCTAGAGAAATGGTCACTGCCACACCTCTCTTGGTTCGACAGGGTGGGGATAGTCAAAATGAACCTTCTTCCACGACTACTTTACCGGTTTCAAACCGTATCGGATGAAAAGAGAGGGGAGGGAAGTAAAGTGGGAGCAATGAAAATGGTGTCAGCAGGGACAGGTGAGCAGAGGGATAAAGAGCTTTTGCTAATTAGAGAGGTGAGTGTGAAAGTAAAGAATATAAGTGAGCGCATTCTCTAAGGAGAATAAAAGGAGTTTATATAATAAAGGAAAATTAGGATTTTTATTTATGCAAAATTAGATGGGATCTTAGTTACATGAGATGAAAGGGATCAGGGGTAGCAGGTAGGGAGTGTGGTAGTTGAGCAGATGATGAGGGTTTGAGAGACATAATTAGTGTTTGGTAAGTCAGGTAATTTGTGCTAACTATAAATGTAGTGAGTTCCAAAGGGAGGGGTGGGTGGGAAACCATCCAAAAGAGCTACCTCTGCATAAGGTTGAAGGTTGTCTTGGTAGCGGAGAATCATTGGAGCTAGTTAATGTTCTGTTTGGTACCCAGGCTGCATGAAAGGATCTGGGTTAGATCAAACGGCAAAAAAAGGGTGGGGAAGACACAGATATTGCGGTGAGAAATGGCAGTTAATGAGGGAAAGAAAATAAAGAACAGAGGAGAAAGTACTTGAGATTTAAAGATATAAGGGTAAGTCATAAATGGTGGACATAAATTAACATGACTATCAGCGCAATACTAACAAAATAAACCATTATCAAAACAAGGGTTAAGCATGGAAGGTAACAATTGAGCAGTAATATTTTAGGGGAGAGAAGTAAAAAGAGAAACTAAGAAATAGAATAATAGAATAAAACGTGGTTCAGGTATTCTTAGGTAGGCCATCCAAAAGAGCTACCTTTGCTACCAAGACAAGCTACTGCCTTATGCAGTGTGTCCTGGGAGCTAGTTAATGTTATGTTTGACTGTGAATTGACTGCATGCAGAATAACAACATAAATGGCAAAATACTTCTTCCTTCTATTTTTCCATTTGAGTACATGAAGAGGAGATACAGCGCACAACAGTAGAACATTTGGTTTGAATTGTACCAAGATAAAATTTTTATATAGGCACATCAGGATAACTCTCCAGAAATGTCCTTCAGTTTGATGTATTTCCAACCAGTGACCTCCGATTTGGAACAAGGAACGAGTAATCCAGACCAAATAAAAACAAAACTCAGGAAATTATTTATTAGTTTGGTTTAGTTTTTATTTAGTCTGGATTATTCCTTTATTGTTCCTAGTCAGTGGTGACCAGTTAAAAAGGCATCAAACTGAAGGAAATTTCTTGAGTTATCCTGATTATATATTTTTTTTTTCTCTTGTAATTTCAAATGTGAATCGATTTTATACTGGCTTGCACTATGTGTCCCCTCTTCCTCTTCATGCACTAAAGTGGAAAAATAGAAGGAAGGATTATTTTGCCGTTTATATTCTTGTTCCGCCAGCAATCCATTTACAGCCGTGAGTGCAATATATATTCCAAGCAGTTTTGTGTTTTTTTTTAATTTTTTTAAATGTTATTACACTGTTTGTGGTAATTTCCCTTCACTTTTTTGTGGTTGTATATATCAGTTTATATATTTGGAATATTCAGAAGGGTCTTTTTTATATGATCTGCAAGTTCAAGTATAAATGGGTAAATAGACATTTTGTTTGTGTCACTTATTGGGCTTTTCTCACTGGTGTTTATTAGTACCACATTGGGTTTGTTGTGTATATGCTCCTTTTGTTTGCCTCCATTCTCCAGTTGAACTGTGTCTCTGCACCTTTTTGAAATGTTATATCATGAGTAACCCAAAACTGTCTGATTTCACTTACAGCTTATTCTACTGTTGCAATTGACTGGGAAACTGAAACAAAGAAATTATATTATGATGATCAGGAGGCAGAGGTAAGTCTAACCTTATTTTTATTACATGGGACATGTTTTCCTAAAAGTCTTTGCTTTTTGGCAAGGGCAAACCCAGGCTTGGTTTTTATTTTTTTTTAGGTAACAAAGTTTAAGGTGAAAAAAAGCTTTTAAAAATAAACAAACTTAAAAATATATATTGTTTAATTGACTTTGTTCTTGCATCCAACTGATTCCTGACCTCTGGTCTGTGGATACATTTAGTTGTATCTGTAAACTTGGATAGGGAAAACAATGCATCTTTATTTTCACTGATCTCAATCAGAAATTTAGCATTGAATTATTAAAGTTGGCAACAAACCTCATTAGTATAAGCAGTATGTTTTATTTGTCACCAGTGGAAATCACATTTAATTTCAAATATCACTTCAGTTGTTGGAGATAATTTCAAATAGAATTTACCCTCTTCTCTTATATGAAATGACAGTGCTTGTTTAGACCTGCTGCTGTGAAACTGGGTGAATGACAAAGAAAACCTGAAATTAAGAAATAGTCAAGTTATATTTATGTTGTAAGCTATTAATAAATGCATCTTTACTAATAATGTATCTATTATCTTGTACTAGCCCAAATTAACAAATGTGTAAATTACTAGATATTCTTAAAATATAATTTACCCAACATCAGGTCCCAGTGCTGACTGCACATTTAGCTTTACAGACTGTCAGTGCACAAGTGTAACTTACACAATATCTGGAGCAAAGCACTGCAGGACAGGTGTACATGGGGGTGTATACCTTTTGGCAGAACTGGATACGACTGAATATTTCTTTGCTATGTAAATTCCACAAATCACCAGCTGATCTGTGGCAGTTTGTGATATCTGCACTTGTTATGCCATGTTTGTGTGTTTGGTGACAGTATTGAGTAATACCTGTAGTCACGTGCATCAGATATTGTGCGGTTTCTGAATGCCTATATGGTAGGGGTGTACTGCACCCTATAGTTACAAAACAAAGGACTTTAAACAGTAAGGAAAACCCTGCTTTTTTTCCTTTCAAGCAGTGCTCAAAAAATAAATAAGCAAATTGCATTTGTTTGTTATTGTCCATGTTGCTTGTCGATAATTGTTCCATACATCAGTGTCTCATTGAATATAAAATCAGCCTACTTTGCTCTTATGTATAACTTGCAACCACAGAGGTAAAAATAAAAAGGTGCCCACGCACAGTTTTTAAAAAGCCACCATTATTTGTCGATCTCACCAGTGTCTGCAGGGTATTGTAATAACCCATGTAGTGTGGCTGTGCTTTGTAAGCAAGTTTAGAGACAAAAGGTACTCGGACATTATATAGAACAATGCTTACGAATGTTGGCAGAATTTTCCTTGATGCATTTTGAAGTTAATCTGTCACCTCTAAACAGTAAATGAGTCAACAAGACCTAGCAGCCTATTCTCCCTCCCGGTTTTTGTTCATATATATTTATTTAAGCTCCTATTCTTGGAACAAAGTATGTGTCTATTTGGATAAAATATATTTTCTGTATATAGTTTAAAAAAAAAAAAAAAAAACTGTTGAAGGGTCACTCTAAGCACCATCATAACTTGGCATAAGTGCAATAAGTACATTGAATAGAGCACCCAGCAGCCACTATCAATGCTGAGAATGGCATATTGATTTGTAAAATTCAATACATCTCTCAGCTTCTCTTTTTGAGCTATCAGACAGCCCAGAACTAGGTTCTAGACTGCCTTTGTTAATATTGTCCATGTTTTACATGTGGTGCATATAACAGAGCTCGGTCTATTAAACCATAAACTAGACTATGTGTTAATTGATAGCATTTGCAGTATGAGTGCTTTCAATGTGCAGAGCAATTCCATTCATCCTAAATTGTGCTACACAGAGGGTTATGGGATAAGGTTTTTTACTGCTGTGGAAGTTGCTGCTTGCAGTTGCACCAATTCAAACTGAAAGCGAGTAACTTGTGTTTATTTGTTGTTTGGTTTTGCCCATAGAATAAAACTTGTTTTCCTTTAGGCTTTTGACAAGAATGAATCCATGCTGCAGCCTCAGAAGAAGAAGATCACAGTGGCACTGAGAGACTGCATTCAACTTTTTACCAAGACTGAGACCCTTGGGGAGCATGATCCTTGGTAATTGAAAAAGAGTCTTTAGTTTATCAGTGGAATTTGCTTTTTTGTGTAGTCTTGGGTGGCGGCGTTTGAGTTATAAACAACATTAGCACACTATACCATATATACAGTATTATTTATATAGCGCCATCACATTTCGTATCGCTGTACAATGGGTACATGCTTTTTCCCAAGTTTCTGTGTAGGCTGTGTTTGAGTTAATGTGCTGGATTCTTATGAAGCTGCATTTCAGTGGTGTCATTGCACACTAATGATATGGTCCCAATTTGCAGGTATTGTCCGAACTGCAGGAAGCATCAACAGGCTACCAAGAAGTTTGATCTGTGGTCTCTGCCAAAAATCCTTGTGGTTCATTTAAAGCGTTTTTCTTACAACCGCTACTGGAGGGATAAACTTGATGCCGTGGTGGAGTTTCCAATTAGGTAAAACATTAAAACACATATCTCACCGTATAATGTAGTGAAATTTTAGAGTGATCCATAGCTTCCATTCATTTGCATGTCAGTTTTATTATTTTTTTAAATTTAAATAATGCAGTAGGAAATATCCTCATCGGGTTCAAAAAGGTTTCTCCAGAAACATGAGTTCATTTTATGGCCATGCATTAAAGTTACATTGCTCATTGGGTATCATGATCCCTGCCACAAGATCGCAAATTACTTTATATTGTACGTAAGTCTATTTTGTTTCTCTGATGCCATCTATGCCGTCTTGCTTCATACACTACTTTTCTATGCAGGTACATGTCACATTTTAGCAGCCATGTATTCGTAGTATTGCTTTATACAGGTAATCCTCACTTCCCGACCAGGTTCCATTCCACGACACAGTCGCAAAGCGAATTGGTTGGTAAGTGAGGAGTTGAGGGATTCCCTGCTCTGGTGCGCTTGTCTTTGTACAGGGAAATTTCCCCGAACATAGATTTAAGGGATTCCCTGCTCTGATGCACATGTCTGTGTTCGGGACATTTCCCTGAACACAGACGAACGCACAAGAGCAGGGATACCCTCTAATCCAGTGATAGCTAACCTTGACACCATAAATTGTTCCTCGACTACATTTTCCATGATGCTCAGCTAGCTTTTAGAGTCTAAAAGCTAGCTAAGCATCATGGGAAAAGTAGTCCAGAAACAATTTATGGTGTCAATGTTAGCCATCACTGCTCTAATCTGTGTTCGGGGAAATGTACCCGAACACAGACTAACGCAGCAGATCAGGGAATCCCTGTAATTCCCACAACGGCTCGCACTTACCATCCCGCGAGAGAGCTGGTCATAAGTGCGAGCCATCGCAAAACAAGGACCATCTGTAATGTATTCTCCTCTCGCTTATATCTATCGGCCGTGTAAACGTTAAAAAAAAAAATAATAATAAAAAAAGCTAAACTAAAGCAGTAGCTCAATCTACTTGTTAATCATAGTATTTTACTTATCCCAACACAGAAAGTAATTTCAGATCGGTGTACTTTACTAAATTCCCAAATTTTCATAGAGGGTGCAACAGAACAGATTAAGCAGTTTTGAGGGGTTATAAAAAATTAACTGAGGTATATAGAGAAAAACTTTTATTTTCGAATTCAGCAGTAAATACCATTTTATATTCATTAAGTTTTGAAAATAATGTCCTCAAAGGCCACCATTAGTTGCAACACACTGTTAGAGACGATCTCTGAAGTTTTGTATAGCTCGTTCACACATCTCGTGGTATGCCGTTAACTTCTTCAATAATCTGTTCCCTTAGCTCTGGTAGGGTGTGAGGTCGATGTTTGAACACTTTTTGCCTTCAGATGCCCCCAAAGAAAAAAAATCGCAAATGCTCAAGTCTGGTGACTGCGCTGGCCACCCCACTTCACCCCTCAGAGAGACCAGACACCCGGGTAACATTTCTTTCAAAACATGGAGTGAATTTCGGGCTGTCGCCTGTTCCCCATCCTGTTGGAACCAGAACTCCCCTAACTCCTCTTCTTCAACAATCTCTTCCATTCTGGCCTGCAGAAAATTTTCCAACATTGAGACAACGTTCAGCATTCACGGTCACGCATTTGCTCACACAGGCTCTGCTTCACTCAATTCCTGAGACAACATTATCTTGTAGGGAGGAAACTGCAAATTTAAATGAAGAATCCTCCTCAGACTGCGGTCTGACATTCCCAAAGCAACAGAATGTCCTGGCGACTGCTCAACTGCTGCTCTCACCAGCTGCACATTTTCCTGTGTTCTTATGGACCTGCGTCGGCCATGTGTACCTCTAAGCATGGTACTATTTCCTCCAACAGCCTAACCCATGAAGAATTGTGTTTGCATTAGAAACTGCGATGTTGCAGAATGTTTTGCTGTCGCCGAAAAGCTCTATGCGTCGCGATCACAGACTGGTTGTTTTCAAACTACGCATGTACGGCAAAGCCTGGATATACTCAGGTCCAAACCATATTGGCTACTGAAATGGGGTGATGGACAGAACACTATGAGACCAGGTGCACCTGCCTCCTCCACCATCCTGAGCATTGACCCCTCAAAACTACTTAATTTCTGCTGCACCCTGTATATCCAAATAAAAACCCAAAGCTGAACTGGAAAAATTCACAAAGTCTGCTGTAGTCACAACCTTTTGCCTCCGCTTTTGCGTTCAGTTTATTTGAGTGTATTGAATAAACATGAAGCTTCCTCTCAATCCTGTGAGTGCAGGTTGTTTATACTGTGTAACTGTTTGTTGATTCATTTGTGATTGCCTGACCGCAAGAGTGATTATTGTGGCCTACATCTTCAACCAGATGTGCAGACCACAATGTCCCCTTCCCAGGCCTTAACCCCCACACCCCATTTAGCATCCTGAGTTATTGCCTGGGATAGAAAAAAACTACAGGCCCAAGTTTCGGGCAATAAGAATAACGCACCCCTCTATTCGCATGTCAGATATATATATTTTTTATGCATATATTGGTCATATGTTTTGTGTGCGTGCACAGATTACTTTTTCTAATCCATGAGTGTATAAAATGCATTTTCTTCAACCTTGTTTGATGTTTTAGGAACCTGGATATGTCAGAGTTTGTCTGTGATCGAGAAGCAACTAACTACATATATGATCTTGTTGCTGTTTCAAATCACTATGGAGGGATGGGAGGTGGACATTGTAAGTAATGTACTTTAGCTATTAATATTTGTTAGTATGTTTAAAAAAATCTTGCTGCACATTGTGTTATAGTTCTGTCTATCTCCATACACCTGGTAGTTACAAAACTGTTTCTAGTACTTACAAAGACATTAGTTCCATCAGTTCTAAAGAAACCTCTCAAAATGCTACTGTGTAGGTTTTAAAACTTATTTATTTGCTTTTCTGCACTTCATAATGTAATTACTTTTACAGATACAGCATATGCAAAGAATCATCTAAATGGACAATGGTACTATTTTGATGACAGCAGTGTTTCTCCAGCATCTGAAGACCAGATTGTGGTAAGAACTTTCTTTATTTCCATTAGAATTATAGTGGTATGATCACTCAAATGCATTTGACAGATTTTGGTCTCAGATTCATACACATGGTGCAGTTTCACTTTGTGTGTTTATTCAGAAATTAATTTCAGTTGGCATACTGACTCCTTTTACTTTTAAACTAGTGATCAAATGGTTGTGGCAGATTGTCCCAGCAACATTCATATTTCTTGTTCATCATTATTAGAAAAATAAAATGGTTCCCCAGGCAGATCCTGCCATACCTACCCAGTAAAAGTAAATAAAACTGGGTGTTGATGGGGGCGCAGAGGCTTTTGAAATACTTCTGCCTTATGTAGTGTTTGCTTCCTTTATACATACTTGAACCCCTTAAGGACACATAATAGAAATATACAGTCATGATTACTTTTTATTCCAGAAGTTGTGTCCTTAAGGGGTTAACTCAAACTATCTGGATTTTAGATTGTTGTTTTTATGGTTTATGTTCTACCATAGCATTCAAAAGGAGTGAATGTGCAATGATTTTAGATGATGTGTACATAAATCTTGCCGTATGTTAAATCTGTATACACTACTTTTTGCTATACATTAAATGACATGTTAATCAGATGTATTCTACTTTTATTTTAATGTAAATTTTTTGCCTCGATAGAAACCTTAACCCATTAAGGACCAAACTTCTGGAATAAAAGGGAATCATGACATGTCACACATGTCAAGTGTCCCTAAGGGGTTAAATAAGTAAACAAAAAAAATAAACAATGCTACTCGGTCATGTACCCTACTATCCCACACTAGAAGAAATCAAATCGATCTTCCTGCTGCACCACCCCTGCTTGCTCGCATAATTCAGGATCCAGGTTTTAATTCAATTGTTTGTCCACTTGTTAACCTTTCAGATGTACTTTACAGACCATCAATGCTTAGCCCTTGGAAAATAATAATCTTGGGTACTACAACAAAAAAAATATACCCTTATGCCACTGCATCAGTTAGTAAATAAATGGACCACCATTGGGTGTTTGCCAGCATGCAGAGTGCGCTGAAAATATTCATTCTATGCACAGAACTGACATTAACAGGCCAAAACACTTGTTAGCTGAACTTACGGACTCCAAGCACTGTGACCGCTTTAAATCATTGAAGTGGTTATGGTGCTTGGAGTTTAATTCTTGAATCGCCAGTTAGGATTTTGATCTTTGGCTAACGTGTCATCTTAACAGATATCTAAGGTATCTTACCTTCAGTATATAAGGTTTGTATTGGATTTAGATTTTCTTTTAGGCAGGAAGGAATCCCTAGTTCTAAAACATCTAATTTAACTGTATCCTTTTAATGATAAAATATGCCTGACTAGTTTGAATGTTTTTGTTTTTCCAGACAAAAGCTGCCTATGTTCTATTTTACCAGCGCCAGGATAGTGAACACTTTAAAGCCTCTTTGCCTACAGTTTCACTTGGCACATCTGCAACAGAGGAAGACCTGGAAGAACAGGGGAAGCAGCAGGAAATTGACTCTATGGACACCAACTAGCAATTTAATATTTTTGACCTTGCCATGTGCAGTTGTAAAGCCCCATGCCAGGCAACCCCTGGGACACCTTAATCAAACCCCTGTCATTCTGCTGCAAGATGTACATACTTCCCTTGAAATCTGGGGAGCAGACCCCACAAGCAAAGATGAAATACTGCTAAAGAAAGCTGATTTCTATGGATTTAAGATTTTCCTCAAGAGAAATGAGGAATATGAATATATTAAAAAAAAAAAAAAGAAAGAAAACCCTTTTCATGCATTGTTCTTATATGGAACAAACAACTGGTGATCTTGGATATAAAACCCCAAGTTTGGGAAACAAAAGCCAAATCGTATAAAGAACTATTCAGTCCAAAAGGTATTGCTAATGTATGGTTTGGTGGCCCGTGCTTAGCAAAGGAATTTTCAGTTTTAAATGGCTTTCAAAAAGAAAAAAAGTTCCTTCCTTCTTCCCATCTAGCCTTGTTTAATTTGAGCAAACAAACACCAGCAGCCTTTAAAAAGTATATTTTTAATACAGAATATGGTAGCCCTTGATGACAACTGTTTCCCAACTGTTTTGTTGCTCCACGGGGGTCGTCTTTGTGTGAGACAAGGGGTGGGGCTGGGCATGCTATTGATCCTCTATTGACCCTGCGGAGTAGTGGAATTCAGGCGCTTGCTTCAAGATTGCAAAGACCATTAAATAGTAAATTAAAATGCATCTGCTTAGGAAGCAGGGTTTCTTTTTTCCCCCTCTTTTTGGGTGGGTTGTATTTATTGCTCTTTTATTTTAAGAGGACAGTTTCCAAGTGTTTAAAGCGTTATACCGTGTATAAATGTGAGGACATAGTTTGCTGACTTGTGTGTTTTAGCCTTCAATGCATCACGCAGTCTGTGTTACTCAGTGAGCTGTGGATACAAAGAGATGTATCGATAGAGAGCATGGTAATACATTGAAAAACTGTTTGTTCTCAACTTCTCCGGCAGCTAAGGGGTTAATTAAAAGCCACGCTCAAGCACTCTTCTACTGTTATTTACAAGTGTCACACATTAGAGCAAGGTTTTATGTCGACTGTGCAAGGAGTTCATATATGAACTCTACAGCTGTTAATGGCATGATCTTACACTATGCTTTTGCCGCAGAGTCAAGCATTGATGTATATGCAGTTCCACAAAACTGTAGAGTTGCCTCTTTGCTAGCCCTGCTCTAGAGCCAAGCGTGATCTGTACATTGTGTTCTGTCATTTTAACAAGTTCTAAGTAAAACAACCTACACTTTAAATTCATTAAGACCTATCAACATTTTCTGCCACTCGTGACATTCGCTGCTGATGCAATGCTATTTATACCAGTATATATTGCACTTACTACCTACATTTCTTCAGGGATTACAAAGAGGCCAAGCAGCTAAAAGTGACCTTCTGGTTTACAAATACCTATATTAATCAATATTCTGTCTTGACACTTCTAAAATGTAATAACGTTGCTGCTTTAGAGTCATGCCTCTGTGGTTGTACACACCTAATTTGATTGGGAAAATCTTGAACATTGCTCCTAGCAAGCAAACAGTTGTAAAAGGGTTGATATGACTCCTGCTTGTTATTGTTCTTTGATTAGAGTCCTAAATGCTAGTCAGGTAGGTGAACATTTTTGATCTCTTAACATGCTATAATATGATATATTAAAAGAAATAGAAAATTAATTTAAAAGGTTTGTCTAGTGATCTTACTATTTTTTTAGAGAATTTCACGTAAAGACTTCCCCCTCTTCACTTACTGCATAAAATCAATGTACATGTCACTTTTAACTGAGCACATTATTGAAGTAACAATGAATGTAATATTTAAATATCCATGGCGGAGGTGAACAGTCTATTGAGTTATACCAGCATGTATTAAGTGATTATTAATGGAAACTTTTACAAACCGGTGCAGGGATTTCTGATCTTGTTTTATTTGTTGCTGTGAAAAAGATGGTGGTTAGTACTTTCTACATTGAGTAGCTTACAACTGTGATGACCATTTTAAAAGTGCTTAGGCTGTCAAACCGAAAAACATGAGTTGCAGACAAAGAAAAATACATGTTAGTCGGTTAACTTTTTAACCCAATTTTTATACTATACACATACAGTAACATGCTTTTGTCTCTTAGTTTGCATTAGGAACTTCATTGGAAATGTTATTTGGCGCTCGCTCAGTCTCCTCAGACATTAGTGCATGGGGGAACCGAATGTGCATAAGTGGCGAGCGCTCCATGTGAATCAATGCTTTCCTATAGGGATTTGTAAGACGTTGGATTTCATCATGCACAGCGTAATGATGTCCAGCATTGTTTCACAGAGTTAAACTCTGAAACTGCAGGAAGCACCGTGATTATCTCACTTCTCTAAAACTGCAATGTCTTACATTTCAGGGTTAAGGGGACAGGGACACAACACTCAGACTATTTCAATAAGATGATTTGGCCTGGGTGCCTATAGTGTCCCTTTTAATTAACCCAGTAAATCTAATTCCTTGTACCCGAAAAATCCATTATTCTAAAGTTTTTGAAAAGAGTTATGCTTTTTCTTAAGACATCATGTAAAGCTGTAAGTCTTGCTGCATGTGTGCCTGACTTAAGAGCTGTGTTGTGAGTGTAAAGATATGATATTCTGGGGTGTGGGTTTTTTTTTTTCTTTCTTTTCACAGCACAGAAAAGACCTTCAATCCTCGGCTTTGTATGATGCAGCAAGTGGCAACACATGTAGCTTAGTAACCATAATTTCCAAACAAAATGGCCATTTATTTGAGAAGACAATGTTATACACCAGTGGTTCCCAAACTGTGTGCTGGGGCACCGCAAATTATTTTCCCAGTGCTATGATGATCGCACCAGGAACTGTGCTCTCCTCTCACAAGCTCAGATTGTTGCCACGGTTACCACGGCAATGCTCCGAATCTCGTGAGAGTGAACTCTAGCAGCTCCTGAGGCTGCTAGAGTTCACTCTCCCCACCGGACCACCAGAGGTTACAGGAAATGTCCCCCCTCCCATGCAAAGGTAAGAAGGGGGGTTATTGTTTTAAAATAAAATTTTTAAGTAGATATTTATTAATTTGACCTCCAACTTCCACAGACACCACACAATAGCTTCCCCATACACACACACACACACACACACACTTACACACACTTGCCCTCCCCGATATGCAAAAAATGCACCACACACAAACTAACTACAACATTCACGAACACAATGCACCCCCATACACATACACGCACCCACTACAGTCCCTATCCCGGCAGACCCCAAGTAAGTTGTCAAACTGTTCTTAAACAGTTTGGCTACTTACCCCGAGAGACCACTACAACGTAATGTAGTGGTTATTGTGCCTGGCTTCTTTCTTTAAATCTACCAGTTCCACTCCCAAGATTAGGGGTCTGGTATTTGCCGCAGCGCTGTACATATATACAACCTAGAAAATTGTTTGGACTTGGGGTGCCTTATGAAACATTGAGGGCACCTTGAACCTAAAAAGTTTGAGAACCACTGATATAGATAATGTTTCATTTTAATCCTGGAAAAACTGAGTTGAGTTTTACACATTTTCTAAACAAATTACATCTGAGTTTTTTTGTTTAGAATCTCAAGAGTGATCATAAAAAATGTGAATATATGCTACTATTTCTGTACATGGAAATTGTCAGCAAAGTGACATTCTAAAACTTATTTTTAAACTCGGTACCAGATGGTGTGTGTATAAAATATTTTACTGCTGGTGCAGTTTTTTGTTTTCCAGAGATAAGTTGCTTGTTTTGTTTCACAATCACTAAATGAGATTTGAGTTTTTGAGAAAACAAATGCATAATGTGTGAAATGCAATTAAATAGTTCATTTACAAAGCCAGGAATTGTGGAGTTTCAACGGAGGATTGACATATTTGTATGTTATTTTAGGATAAGCTATCTGGATTGAAAACATTTTCCCAGGCTGGGTGTTTTTCCAACTCCACTATTTTGCTACACTGATCCATACATATCATTAATAAATAAACCCCATTCAAAATTTCTTGAACCTGGTTTATATGCTAGAGCCTATTTTGTGTAATCGCCCCCTTTCATAAATACCCACGTTGCTCACATTGCTGTGAAATGACCTCAGGGTTAGCGTAAATAATAGAGGTGAGAGTGGGCAGCCATGCATTCTGCTGTTCTGGATTGTCACAGCTTGAAACAGTTAATTCTGATGCAAGCTCTAAGCTATAATATTTAATCCACTAAAGCAAATTGTAGCCCAGACCCCTATGCTGCAGAGCAGAGCGTTCAAAATTTTTCATGGTTATGACACTTTTCAGACGTGTCATTTCAAGACAGGACATCAACTAAGGCTGAGACTGTTTTTCACTTCTTGAACACGTCACTTCCATTGCGCCTACGTCACAAAAAGTGATGCAAAATGTTCTCATTTCTCTGCATGTGTCCTCAGACTGATCATTCTTGGGTAAGACCTTTTAACACAGCTATCTGCTTAGTTAGACCAGGAATCTGCTAATTGTATGGTTCTTTTTTCTCACCAATAACCAAATTTTAAAAAGTATCAGAAAAGCATATTTGTGGCCTTCCCAAAGAGGGAGAGGAGTGACCTCTCGAGGTTTTTTTTTGTTTTTCTGAGAACTCTGCTCCAGACTTCCTGAACAGACAGATATATCTTGGTCCTGTGTGAAAGATTAATTTCATTTTCAGTTAAACTCAACAGGTTTTATTAGCAGTGTGGACATGTTTTACATGTACCAGAAGCTGGTACAACCAGGATGCCATAATACTATTGGAATGCCTTTTAGAAGCAAGAGCTGTTAAATATTTACTATATTTTCACACAACCCTTAAGTAGTTTTTAGGAAAAAAGTGAAGTCTCTGTCCATTGGGTTCAGAACCCTCCAGCAATCAACCAGTTGAACCTCCAACACTTTTTGTTTAACTTAGCGCATGAATTCAACTGAGAAAGTGCTACAGGAGCTAGAGGTGCCCACTTGGATCCCAGGCCATGTTTAAGTTGCCTAGGAGTGTGCCAGTGCTAATGTTTAATGGATCTTGCAGGGTCATCCATACACCTCAATACTGTACTCTCGCATGCACGAGAGTACAGCAGTGATGATGTCCCATGGCGCTGAAGAACAGACCGAGGAAGATGGCGGGACCTGTAAGGGATAGATTCAGGTAATTAAAGCTCACTTTACCTGCCTCATCCTGGCCACCAGACCCTGAGCGGCAATGTCATCATAAGGGGTCTTTGCAAATTTGTTAAAGTTCCCAGACGGTGGCAGTGCCACTTGTAGGTTCGAGGGGTTTGTTTTTGTTTTATTCTTAAAAAGCACTTTATTTGGGGGAGGGACTGATATAAAGGGACACTTTAGCAACTGTATTCCAGAAGTATACAATACCTGTCTCTAGATCATTCTTACCCAGCGCACTTCTCCACTGTGTGCGCTGTATAACAGGTTTTAAAAATATATATATATTTATTTAAACTTACCTTCTCTCTAGTGCCAAGTCTCCTTTCCACGTGATATCATATAGGAGGTGTACCTCCAGGATGACGGTCCAATCCCATGCTCCTCATAGGGAAGCATTGGGTACCAATGGTGCATGCGCAGTGCTTGGCATCATCTGCCAATTATTTTCAGTCATTGCATTCAACTAATCTCTATAAGTGTGACAGCACTGCGCCTGTTTCATCTTGGTATGCCAGGGGTATTAGGGTTTGGTTACATGACTTTATATTGTACTTCCAAACCTTCAAATTGCTAAAATAATTTGAGGGCAAATTACAACTTCAACCAAACGTGCTGGTGCAAATAGCCCAGGAATGTACCCCTCTCTATTCTTAAATGGTCCATCACTGTTGTTATGAGCCTATGGAATTGACGGTTTTCGTAACTGTGCATTAAAGAATCTAAGCATCAAAACAACGTTTGCTTAAAGGGACACTATAGTCACCAGAACAACTACAGCTTAATGTAGTTGTTCTGGTGAGACTAATCCGTCCCTGCAGGCATTTCAATGTAAACACTGCCCAGGTACACATCTATTGCCAGTCACTAGGGATGTGCATGGGCAAAAAAAATTGGTTTGGTTCGGCACTTTGGCAATTCCCTAATCCTAATACTGTTAAGGGTAGGGTTAGATTGTCATCAATTTTCCTTCCTTCCTGTTTTGCCATTTTTCAGAAATCCAAAGCACTTTGGCACTTACGAAATTCGGAAGCGTCCGAATTGCACGTCTAGCAGTCACTCAGGTGGCCACTAGAAGTGCTTCCTGGGCAATACTGCACAAAGTGCAGCACTGACATTCAGAATATTCACGCTCTGCATCAATGCATATCTACAAGAAGATGCTGATAAGCCAGGGTGGTGTTTGGCTCCGCTCTCCAATACACTTCCTTGGCTGAGATCATCAGAATTCTGGTGCTTGCTTACAAGTCCCTACATAATGCTGCTCCACCCTACCTATCCTCCCTAATACACAAGTATGTCCCGTCAAGGCCCCTACGCTCTGCCAAAGGCCTATGTATATCCTCTGTCCGTACTCCCACCTCTATCGCCTCTAAGACTTTTCCAGGGCTGCACCTCTTCTGTGGAACTCCCTTCCCTTCTCCGTAAGAATTTCACCCAGTCTCCACTCATTCAAAAAAATCGTTGAAAACTCACTTCAAGAAAGCATATCAATTAAATTTAGTAGGTTTTTATCCCCTAGCCCCCCCATGACTCCTCTCCTGCAACTGTCAAAAATTACCTACTAAGCCCTCAGTGAATACTTTTCTAACCACCTACTTCGTACCCCTACTTTTACCCTTTGTGTCACTACACCCCACTCCCTCTAGAATGTAAGTTCATTGAGCAGGGCCCTACACCTCTCTGTTCCTGTACGTCCAGTTGTCTGGTTACAATTACATGTGTTAGTCCACCCATTGTACAGTGCTACGGAATCTGATGGCGCTATATAAATAAGAAAATTAATAATAGGCAATCTCAGCCATTTCAATGCTTTCCTATAGGAAATTCTGATGATGGTTTGGGGGTGGGGCCAGATGCGAGGAGCCCCACACAGCATTGGTATATAGATGAGTAAATCGCCTTTCTAACCTGAGGTAAGGGGGTGACCACCTAAAGGTGGTTTTAGAACTACAGTGTCCGGAATACACTATTGTGTACCTAACATTATAGTGCTCCTTTAATGAAGCTGTTTTAATGTATAGATCATGCCTTAGCAGTGTCACTATTCAATTTTCTGCCAACTAGGAGTTTATGTACTCATACACCCTCCTTGGGAAAAGAAAGTTTACTTTTTACAGCATTGTGTGTATACTTAAGAGGTACTTATCTCCAGTTATGTTAGTTGAACTTTAATTATATACAATTTAAAGGGATACTATAACACCAATCTTCATTCCTGTTACTATACTTCCCTCTGGCCACCCCTGCACTGTAAGGGTTAAACTTTTACTGTACGTGCACGATTCAAATGGCAATCTCCCTTTAGCGCTGGATCAGCGATTCACCTCCTCCGATGTCACCTTAGGCGCACGTGCGATGAGCACATTAAGCCCTCCCCATAAGAAAGCATTCCTGCAATGCTTTCCTATGGGGATTTTACGGATGCTGGATGTGCTCATTCAGAGCGAGAACTCTGCACTTTGTCAGGTGACCAAATGTCTCTTAGCACACAGGAAGTGCCTCAGGTGGCTGTCTGACAGCCACTAAAGGAGGTCTTAGACCTGCAATGTAATTATTGCAATTTCTCAGAAGCTGTAATATTTAACATTGCAGGGTTAAGGGGACGGGGTCACTGCACCCAGTCCACTTCAATGCGCTTAAGTGGTTTTGGTGCCTTTAGTGTCCCTTTAATAGAATGTTTCTTTAAAGGATCACTATAGGGTCAGGAACACAAACATGTATTCCTGACCCTAGAGTGTTAAAACCACCATCTAGGTGGCTAACTGCCGAACCGAGCGGTCGCATGGAGTGAGAGCTCCGTGCTTTGGATGACTTCCAAGCCCATTACCCGCAGCATACACAGCCCTCCAGCGACTGCCCAGTCTGGGATATTAACCCCTACAATGGCCCCAGCCAAACAAACAAAACTAACAGACCAGATTCGGCCCGCGAGAAAGGACCGGGCGCGGCCTACACAAGATGGCGACGACGAGCAGGCCTGCTCACAACATGCTGAGAGCTCACCAAACCCCAAAGGGGACTCCAGCCCGTACACAGATGCACCGGTAACGGAGAAACGGCTGTTTCTTATGCTGCAGGACTTTCGAGTCACACTGCAATCTGACCTCAAGAGGGCGACCAGTGAGATCAAGAGGGAGATATCTGACCTAGGAGAACGTACTAACCAATTAGAAGCACGCACTGAAGACATGTGCACTGAACAGAACACGCTGACAAACACAGTACAGCATTTAATGGAGGAACAAGCTCAGCTCAAACGTAAACTAGCTGATTTAGAGGACCGGTCACGCAGGAACAATGTTAGGTTCCGCGGAATACCGGAACGTGTGGGCACAGAAGAACTCCCAGCATATCTCCAAAGGCTTTGCGCAACTCTGCAACCCGATATCGCAGAAGGAGAATGGCTCCTGGATAGGGCCCATAGGCTCCCACGGCCACCGAGACTGGCACAGGATACACCTCGCGATGTAGTTGCCAGATTTCACTATTTCACCTCTAAGAATGCCCTACTAACGGCGTCCCGCAAACTGGACAAGCTGCCTGAACCATACACGGCACTCAGTATATATGCGGACCTGTCGGCCTTAACAATGGCCCGAAGAAGGGAATTCATTACGGTGACGAAGACGCTGCGAAACAACAACATTCAGTACAGATGGGGATACCCGACGAAAATAATCGTATGGAAGAATGGCAAAAATCACGTGGTAAATGAACCAGAGGTGGGCATGCGCCTTATAAGAGAATGGGGACTGTTTCCAGCACAAGCGACGGTAGCGGCCGCTACTGCAACACCTACACGACAACTGGGAGAATGGCGGATGGCGGGATCGCCGACCAAAGCGTAAAGGACTGTACTCCTAGGACTCTCTCCCTTGCCGGACAGCTGAATGGGGAAAGTGGTGTCACCCAACCCACGTAACTATATGACATGTGATCCAATACCACACGTATGGGGAAA